ATGATATTAAACCAGGAGCAAAAAACTGAAGAAGCATGGTGTTGCTTTCATTGTGTAAAAGACCATTTCAAGATCTGTCCTAAAATACAATGCTGTAAGTGGTAGGACACAGAGGATATTATCCATATACATACATGGGAGACCCACTAAATACAACTAGTATTCAAATATATGTACCAACAACTAAAGCAAAATACGAGGAAACTGAGGGATTCTACCAACTTGCAGTATGAAATTGCATTAGTAATTGGTAACTGGAATGCCAAAGTTGGAAACAAAAGAAAGGACTGGTAATGGAAATTACAATCGTGGTGACAGAAGTAAGTCTGGAGATTGAATGATTTAATTTTACACAATCAGCTATTTATTCATTGCTACTTACACTTTATAATATATATAAACAAGGCCTATATACATGGACCTCACTGCCTAAGAGTCAGATTGACCACTACATCTGTGGAAATGTCATTGGAGAAGCATAATATCAGCAGTGAAAGTCAGGCTAGGTGCTGACTGAAACATCAAGTACTTTTGTGCAAGGTCAAATTGGAGCTGAAGAAAATGAAGACAAGACTACAGAACCAAAATATGACCTTGACTCTATCTCACCTGAATTTAAAAATCATCTCAAAAATAGATTTGAGGCATTGAACATCAATAATAGAAGACCAGATGAGTTTTGGTATACATCAAGGATATCATCCATGAAGAAAGCAACAGTTCTGTTGGATTAGTTCTATAGGATAACTGGTTCAGATTAGAACTGTATAATGAGCATCAGGAAGAATGAGTCTGAAAAAAGAAAAAGGAAAAGACAAAAAGAAGCAGATTAACCAACATGTCTGTAGTGAAAGGAGTTAAACTTGTGGCAGAGAGTTGTGGGATGAATTAGTGATATATACACAGGGAAAATGAAAATAAGGTGATAATGAACTCCAGAAAAAATGAAACATTCTATGTAAAAAACCTTAAATACAAATAACTCAGCTAGGAATACATTTTTGTCATAATTGTATAAACACTGATTGTTGATTTACCCCCAAATTGTAATATAAAAACATTGGAGAGAGTAGAGAGAAATACAAGTATTTGAAAAGGGCTTATAGTGTATTTTTATTTTTTATTTCTAACCTATACTTGGACTAAGAGGCAGTCTGCAAAACAGAGCAAGGAAACACTGCATGGTTCAAAATTGGGAAAGGCGTATGCCAGGGATGTGTCCTATCTCCATGCCTTTTTAACCTGTATGCAAAACAGATTATCTGAGAGGCTGGGCTCTATGAGGAGAAGTGTGGCGTCGGGACTGGTGGAAGATCTATTAACAATCTGCGTTATGCAGATGACACAACCCTACTTGCCGAAACTGAGGAGGACCTGAAGCGCTTGCTGCAGAGGGTCAAGGACTGCAGCCTCCAATATGGATTGAAGCTCAATGTCAAGAAGACAAAGATTCTCACCACTAGACCAATTGGCAGCATCAGGATGGATGATGAAGAGATTGAGATTGTTAACAACTTTAGTCTGCTTGGCTCCACGGTCAACACTCTTGGCACCAGTAGCCAGGAAATAAAAAAAAACATATTGCGATGGGAAAGTCTGCTGTTGGGGACCTCTCCATGGTACTGAAGAACAATGGTGTCACTCTGGAGACTAAGGTGTGTCTGATACATTCTATGGTCTTTGCAATCACTTGTTATGCATCAGAGAGTTGCACAATAACTAGGGAGGCTAGAAGGAGAATTCATGCCTTTGAGCTGTGGTGCTGGAGAAGAGTGTTGAATGTACCGTGGATTGCCAAGAAAACAAGCAGATTCATCCTGGAGAGGGTTAAACCAGGCTGCTCCTTGGAGGCAAGGATTCTGGGGCTTCGTCTGACATACTTTGGACATGTTATAAGGTCCTTGGAGAGGGACGGCGCAAGAAGGGAAGACCCTCTATGAGGTGGACTGATTCAGGGACTGGAGTAATCGAGATGGGTGTGTTGGAGGCAGTGTGATTGGCACAGGATAGATCAGGGTTTAGGGCTGTTGTACATAGGGTCGCTATGAGTCGCAAGGGACTCAACAGCACATAACAACAACAACAAGAACTTATTGTTGTCTATAACTTTTTTTTTATGGCTCAGCAAATGTATTTTTTTTTCCCTTTCATAATTGTGATTGAAGTAAACCTTACAAAGCAAACTGGTTTTTCATTCAAACATTGGTACAGATTATGTTTTATAACATTAATTAATACAGGATCTATGTATTAACCCTTCAGTTTCATGTGCATTTCTCTTTGGGAAAAAAAAATTCTTTCATTGTTATATAGTCTCCCCCCCACCCCAAGTCCACTCCACTCTGCAGCCATCGTTCTGGATTCCTGTCATGACAGAATACCTAATCATATATCTCTTTTAAACAGTTCTCTCCCTCATCTGTTTCAGTGCAGTATGCATTATTGAACCCATCCTTCTCAGTCTCCCCCCAACCCTGATGTCAGTCCCATTTTACAACAGTGGAACTATGCAATATTTGTTCTTTTGTGACTGAGATATTTCACTCAGCATAATGTCCTCTAGGGTCACCCATTGTGTATAATGATACTTCATGAGTTCCTTGTTTTTCAATGCATTGTAGTATTCCATTGTGTGAATATACCACAGCTTCTCTATCCATTCGTTTGTTGATGGACATTTAGGTTGTTTCCAACTCCTTGCTATCATGAACAAAGCCGTGATAAACATAGGTGTGCATATATCTGCTTGGATGTCAGTTACGGTCTCTTTGGGTTATATTCCCAGTAGTGAAATTGCTGGGTCAAATGGTATCTCTATTAGCAACTTTTTGAGAAAGCACCATACTGCCTTCCACAGTGGTTGCACCATTTTACACTCCCACCAACAGTGAATAAGGGTTCCAGTTTCTCCACAATCTCACCAACATTTGGTGCTGTTCTGTTAAATTTTGCTATTCTGTCTAGGGTGTGATGATATCTCATAGTTGTTTTGATTTGTTTTTCTCGTAAAGCTAGGAATTTTGAATATTCTTCATGTGTTTTTTTGCCATCTGAATGTCTTCTTTGGTGACGTGTCTGTTCATAGCCTCTGCCCATTTTTTCAGGTGTTTACCTTTATCTTGTTGTGGTGCTGTTGTCTATAACTCTTGCCTCGCCCTTTGGGTCTTCCTTTGCTTTAGTAAAACTATGCTGCTCACTCCTTTTAGATAGCCTTTCCTTTCAGCCAACTTAGTCTGTGTCTCTTAACTAACTGCTTGTTCTTCCCTTCACCCTCCATCTCCGGTGATCATCAAATAACGTTTAACTTTGTGTATTTTTCCTTAACTTTTTCATAGAAATGGATTAATGCAGTATGATTGTCCTTTTATGTTTCATTTGCTTACTGTAATATCCTCCAGGTTCATCCATGTTATATGGAATTTCCCAAGTTATTTAATGTTGTCTAGTATTCTGTTGTTTGTATGTGCCATAGTTGAGCCATTCATCCTTTCATGGATGCTTGTGCTATTTCCATCAGGACTGTGAAAGTATTATTTTGGAGTGCTTTTCTTCAGTTACATCCAGCTCCCCTCTCCTCCCCACTGGGCTTCATAAATCTAAAACTTTTACTAGAATTTTTTTCCCTTGTCTTGGGTAGTATACATATGTACTCTGCACCAACATGTGGGTCTAAATCAGAGCTTCATTTTCTAGAGGCCCCCACTTGATCCCCCCCAACCTTCCTTTTCTGCCATCTGAGCAGAGATCAGCTTTCTCCCTGTGCCCTGGCTCAGTGGACTCCAGAGGAGTCCTTCCAGAGGTCTCCTTTATGTGAGCAGCGTGGCTTGTAGACCCACGTCCATGTCTGCCACACCTGCATGAGAAGCGCAAGCCCAAGTCCCTGGGCACCTCAGGGTCTGTATTTTTAAATGTATTGTTACTATTATTATTATTATTAATGATTTCAATGAACATCTACAGAGATTTTTGTAATTCCATTCATTCATTGTTGCACTTTTCTCTCCCCCACTCCCAGTTCGCTCCTCTCCTTGAAAAGCAAAAGGCAAACTTTCATTCTTTGGTTTTGTTTTTCTCTTGCAAGTCTTTCCTCAAGTGATCTCGTTTTTCTTTCCTTCAAGCCCAGTAGTGTTATTTTTTTTTAAAGGGAATTCTCTTTTATCTCTTCTTTCCAAGTGTTTTCCACTAGGTGAGGCCATTGTTAGCATGTTCTGCTATTTGGCATGAACTGTCACAGTGCCTTTTATACATGTATCACATTGTGCTGAAGTTGCTTTTAAGATTTCTTTTTGTCTTCCTACATCCATCCTGTTCCTTGGGGCGCAAACTCAGCACAGTGTCTCTTAATACTGAACCAATGAAGAACTACTGCTATTTAGTCTTTAGGGCCTGTATTGAATCAGTTGAGATTTTTCAGTGAGAAGCATCAACATTGCCTCAAATTTGTACAAGGACACCATCTGTCATGCAAGGGCTTTAGCTGTCGCTTGCCTCAGGGGTCACCTCCTTCCTTGTCTCACTGGTGCTGTGATCCTGCTTGTCTGAGCTCATCTCCCTGCCTCATCTGGGGAGATGCTCTGTTCTCTGTGTGCCCCAGCCCTGCCCACTTGTTCCTTGTGTTTCTTCCAATTATCTTTTCTTGTGACACCTCTGCCTTTCTTCCTTTGAAAGTAAAGCAAAGTACATTTTTTTTTGCGTTTATGCAGCACCTGGAGTTTTGTCCACTCTTGCATATATTATCTATACTTTTTATTTTTTACAGAACTGTTCATGGTAAGCCTACTCTGCCTCTTTTTTTACCTTCTAACCTACTTTTCAAAGTAATTAATCATGTCTTAGTCGGTGGAAATAAAGTTTATTTATCTGTGTAAATAACACACTATTACAAAATGCAAAACCAAAACCCCATACCCATGGTGTTGGGAGAGGGAGGAGGAAGCATGCCAACATGCGTCCCTGTTTCTCTTTCCTCGCTCTCTTCTGACTATTGGGTCTCTCTGCAGAGCACCTGTTGACTCACTTGGAACAAGCCAAAGGTGTCCCTGCCACCAGCCAGAGCGAAGGAACTCCCGAGAAAGAACCAGAGGTGCCCCGAGCAGAGCCACCCACAGGTCTCCAGAGTGTCAGCACCACCAAAGAGCAGAAGAAAAAGCCTCGAAGGGGAAGAAAGCCCAAAGTGTCCAGACCGGAGCAGCCTCTAGTCATTGTGGAAGACAAGGACCCCTCAGGTGAGGGAGACAGTTCCTGGAAGCGAGTACCCGAAGGGACAGCCCCTTCCTGGGTTTTGAGATCTGGGAGGTTTTAGAGGGACCCATAGACCATCTTACCTTGAAGTCTGAGAAAACTCGGCATCAGGAGGTCACGTGGAAGGTTCCTTCTTTCTCTAAATCAGCTCTTTTATAGTGAAGTGTACTGTTGCTGTAAAGTGTGAGCAGGTTGTAGACTCTGACAGCTGTATCCCTACGCCTACAGCAGCTCCCAATCAGGATAGAGAACATTCCTTCCACCAGAGGGGCCGTTTTCAGAGATAGGTTTCTCACACCCCATTACCCAGCCAACTGCTTTTTAAAATTCCTTGTCATCAGGAACTACATTTGCCTCTTCCAGAATTTCATATAAGTGAGCTTATTTGTGACCAGTTTCTTGCTCACAGAATCACACTTGTGAGTTTCACTGTGTTGTATTCAGAGTCACCCTGCTAAGCAGTGTTCCATCCTTTTCATGTGGAACCTGTGCGTGGAACAAGGGGCGACTGTGTGAGTGAAAATCAGGAAAGAAGTGTGACGGCGTTGTATTATTTCACATTTGTTATTCATTCTGTTCACTGAACAAATAGTGTGAAAAGCTGGATGATATAAAAAGGAATTTCTGATTGGGATTCAGAAGAAGGTTTGATGACAGCCTGAGATATGCAGATGACACAACTTCACATAGTCAAAGTGAAGACAGTTTGAAGCATTTACTGTTGAGGATCAAAGACCACAGTCTTTAGTGTGGCTTACGCTAGTACATGAAGGAAAGGAAACTCCTGAAAACTGGCCCCGTAAGCAGTGTCGTGGTAAATGATGAAGAAATAAAAGATGTCAAGGATTTTATTCTCCTTGGATAAACAATCAATTCCCCTGGAAGGTCTCTTTGCCACAGACTTCTTTACAATCTTCCAAAGATGTCACTTGGATGACTAAAGGTATGCCTGAGCCAGGCCATGGGTACTTTCTCTTGTTTCCTGTGCATGCAAAAACTGGACAGTGTAAAAGGAAGACTGAAGAGAAGTGTTGCTGTTGTTGTTTGGTGCCATCAGTGTTGAGAATGATTTATTGAGACCCAATGAACAACAGATCTGAACCCTGCCCTGTCCTATGCCATCAAGTCCACTGCTGCAGTCACTGTGTCAGTCCATCTCTTTGAGTGTCTTCCCCTCTTGCCCTGACCCTTTGCTTTTCCAAGCATAGTATCTCTTTTCAAGGAGTAGCCTCTCCTGGCAATAAGCTCAAAATACATGAGAGAAAGTTTCACCATCCTTGCATCTAAGGACTACTCTGGCTGCAGTTTTTCCAAGATGTATGTTTTCTTGGCAGTCCATGAGATATTCAGGGCTTTTCTCCAACACCACAAATCAAAGACATCAGTTCTTCTATCATTCTTATTCATTGTCCAGATTTCAAATGCATAGCAAGTTTTAAAAAACCATGGCCTGAATCAGGCCCACCTTAGTCTTTAAACTCATATTGTTGCTCCTCAGTATTTTAGGAGCGGTCTCTGACAGCAGACTTAACCTATGCAGTATGTCTTCTGATCTGACTACTGGTACCAAGAGATTTGATTGTGGACTGAAGTAAAATGAGATCACTGGCAATTTCAACCTTTTCTCCATCTATTAATATGATGCTTACCAGTCCAGTGGTGAAGATTTTTGTTTTCTTGATATTGAGGTGCAATCCATATTGAAGGCTATAGTCTTTGATCCTCTTCAGTAAGTATTTCAAGTCCTCCTCACGTTCAGTAGGCAAGGTTATGTCATCTGCATATTGCAGGTTGTTAATGAGTCTTCCTCCAACGCTGATTCCATTCCTCTTCATAGTGTCCAGCTTCACAAAGTATTTGCTCAGCATACATGAATTAATATGAGTTGACATACCCTTTTCCGATTTTTAACCACACTCCCTTGTTCTGTTCAGATCACATCTTCTTGGTATAAGTATAGCTTTTACATGAATGCAATTGTTTTTGGATTCCAAGCCTTCTTAATGATAGCCATAATTTTTTATGACCCACACAGTCAAATGCCATTGCATAGCCAATAAAACACAAATAGACATTCTTCTGGTATTCTCTACTTTTGGCCAGGATTCTTCTGACATTAATCATATCTCTGGTAAACCCAACTTAAACTTTTAACAGTTCTTTGTGTACTGTTCAACATGTTTTTTTATGATCTTCAGCACTATTTTGCTTACATGTGATATTAATGAAATTGTTTGATAATTTCCACATACTGTTGAATCACCTTTCTTGCGAATGGGAATAAATATGGATCTTTTTCAGTTAGTCAGCCAGGTAGCTGTCCTCCAGATTTCCTGACATAGACTGGTGAGTGCAACCAGGACTGCGTCCGTTAGTTGAGACATGTCAATTTGTATTCCATTGATTTCCAGAGACTTAACTTTTTCCATATGCCTTCAAGACATCTTGAATTTCTCCTGTCATTAAGATTGGCTCATCTTTGGTGTCAGACAGTTCTTTTTGATACAGTGACTCTGTGTTTTCCTTCCGTCATTCACTATTTGCCCCTAGCATCTCTTAGTATTGTAACTTGAAGCTTGCATTGAACTTTTAGTTCTTTCATCTTGAGAATGTTTTCTCAAGCTGCCTTTGAAATCTTCTGTTCATTTCTTTCATTTTGGCATTTATCCTCTTTGGGTCTGGCTTCTTATCACTTTAGTGCAATTTTCAGAGTCTCTTCTGAGATCCATTTTTGTCTTTTCTTCCTACTCTGTCTTTACAATGATCTTTTGCTCTCTTCATGGATGATATAATTGATATCATCCCATAACTCATCTGGTGCCTCAAGCCTATTCTGGAGATGATTTTTAAATTCAGGTGGGACAGACTCAAAGTTGCATTTTGGTTCCTGTAGACTAGTTTTCATTTTCTTCAGCTTCAATTTGAAATTGCACATAAGCAATTGAAGATCTTCCACAGTCAGCAACTGGCCTAATTTTGACTGCTGATATTATGCTGCTCCAACGATTCTTTCCACAGTCTGATTCCTGTGCTATCCATCAGGTGAAGTCAATGCATAAAGAAGCATTTTGTGTGTTTTTCAAGAAGATATTTGTAATGAATAAATCATGAAGCATACAAAGCAGTTCATTTGAATTGTGTTGGTGAAGAATATTAAATAAATAGAGCATTGATGGACAGAAAAATGAACAAATCAGTCTTGGAGAAGGTACAGCCAGGCTGCATTTTAGAAGATGAGATGGTGAGATTAACATGATAGAACAGGGTTCAGAGCTGTTGTACATAGAGTCACTATGAGTTGCAAGCGCCTCGATGGCACAGAACAACAACCACATAAGGAGGGGCCAGTTTCAGGAGAAGGACATGATGCTTAGTCAAGTAGAGAAGAGGAACACTCTGCAGGAGATGACCCAACACAGTGATTGCCGGTGGTTGCCGTAATAGGCTCAAACGTCACAACAGCTGTGGGGATGATGCACAAGGGCTCACCACCACTTAAGGTGACACAGGGCACCTAACAACTGCAGCAAGTGTTCCATTGCGTGAATATGTGACCATCATGTGATGGTCCCCGTGAAGTGTAAATATCCCAGCACTGTATGATTTTACCAGCGCAGAGTGACTGTCCCACCATGGCCTAACACCCTTCCACGGTGTGACTGTCCTACCTGTGGATGGATATTTGGATTGTTTCCAGGTGTAGGCCTACATTGAACCCTTGAATGTGTACTGTCCTCAGTTGAGTGTGAGCCCCCGCTGGGCCTTCTTGCTTGGTCCTCTCTCAGCCTTCCTCATCAGTGCTGCCTGCACGCACTAGCCCCATCTATAGGACCAGGCCTGATGTCTGCATCCTGTCCTTTCACAACCTCTTTATTGACCATCAGGCAGTTTTTCTATCTGTTATCTGCCATATCGCAGGATTTTCTTTATGAAAACGAGAAAGAAATTCCTATGTATTTCTCAGAATTTAAAAAGGAAATTCAGAAGAGGCTTCTCATCTTCTGATCTTGATCCTTTCCTATTCTGGGCATGCTGCCATCTCCCAGTGTGTGCGCCATTTAGGAAATGGGGAGGAGGAGTGGTTTAACTTTCCTGGACAATGTTAGTGCTTCTGTATAATTAGCTAGCAGAAGGTGAGAGGGCAACAGGAAGCTTGTTAAATGACTGTTTCACTAATTATTGCTTATGTTAGGAAGATAGTTAATAGATGAAGTGTCTTAGAAGCCAGTTACAACTATCTCATATTTTGCTGTCAAGTCAGAGCCAGCTCTTAGCTAACCCTACAGCTGGTTTCTGAAACTGTAACTTGCACAGGAGGAAACAGCCTGTCCTTTTCCTGGAGCCTCCAGTGGGAATCAAACTGCTGGAGAGGCTTTGCCTGTGAGTTACAGTACAGCTTCCTGAGGACTACTTTGCTCAGGCTCCTTTAATAGTTACCATGTTGTTGTTAAGTGCCGTCGAGTAGTAGACAACTCATAGCGACCCTCTGAACAAAAGACCTGAATACTTGTATAACTTTCATCCTCTCTCCAAGTTCATAGAGTTCCTGGAGGCAAGCTATTTCAGAAGTGGATGCCACTCCTGCTTCCAAGCTTGTTTTAATCGGGGAACTCCACCAAACACAGTCCATCATGGGTAACCATTATCATAATACCATAATAGCTACCATAGTTGTATTTTTTCTCCACATTTAATGTGTTTAAACTGTCAGGTCTCCGTCCCTTCCACATGATGGATTGATATTTGACTCTTGTAGATAGGTTCTCTCCCATTATAACATATGCAAGAGAGCATTTGTAGTTAATATTTCTACATCTGTAGCAGAACTAATATATCCACTGTGTTGTTGTTTGTTGTTGTGTACTCTTGAGTCAGAAGCAACCCATAGCTGACCCTCTGAAAATTCTGTATACCCAGAATACTTTTGGAGGGTACGCAGAGAGAATTTAATGTTATGACTGCTGTTTAAGAAAACAATCACAAATTATAACTTTAGGTTTGATATAAGAATAAAATTTTGCCTTTCTATAGGAATGGGTTAATGTGTGAATTCTAAAATGATTAGGCCACCAAAACTCCCGTCTAAAATGATACTAGCTGAAATTTTTTTTCCTTCTCCTCCTTACAAATTAGTTACTAAAACTTTGGCCTGGCTGTAGTTTCCTTGAAATCCTTAGATGGCACAAACCATTAATACACTTGCCTACTGAGCCCAGAGGTTCAAATTCACCCAGAGTTACCTTGAAAGATCAGCCCGGTGATCCACTTCCAAAGACTTGGGCTCTGCAAGCCTGTACAGTACAGCTCTGCTCTGACATGTGTTGGGTCTCCACACCTTGACAGGAGTTAGTCTGGGCCTTTGGTTTGGGCGCTTCCTTTGTCCCGGTCTTCTTAGCTCTGTATGTCTGTTCTCTGTCCTTATGATAACCCGTCACACTAACCTTTCACAGAGCATGTGGCAGAAATTGTCACCGAAGTCCCCCCAGATGAGCCCGTGAATGCAGCCCCAGATGAACGCATCATGGAGCTGGTGCTGGGGAAGCTGGCCACCACCACCAGTGACAGTGGCTCCATTCCCAAGTAAGTGCCACCACAGCATGTAGTCTGCTTGGTTGACAGAAAGCTCGTAGGCAGCTGCCTTGCTGGGGAGAGGGAAGCTGTTTTTCACGGACAGTACCTGATAACAGGGGATTGCCTGCATTTCTGTGTCTGAACGCTTAAGTATGGGAAGCAGCAGAAATATCTAGAATCCTTAGTAAAGCCACCTAGTAAACAGTGCTGCCTTTAAATTCTAGTAACTTAACACTTTGCTCTTGGTTTTGCTTTATTTTATGTTTCTAAACAAGGAAAATATTTTCTTTATTAATATTAGTTCCTTTTTTTACCCCAAATTAAATTTCTTTTTGTCTGGGTACATATTGAAAGGTTTAGTGGACCCATAGGTGCCTCAGAAGAAATGCTTGTTGGGGATCTACTTCCAAAAAACCAGCCATTAAAAACCCCGCAGAGCACAGTCTCCTCAGACATCCATGCAGTCGGCATACATTGGAGGCTGACTTGACATGTGGCTGATGAACTTGTGGAAGCGCTGAAAACAAAGACCCAATTAACATCACAAAATAACATTGCTGATTTATACTCTTTTTTTACTGCCTGGAGGATTGCAGGTGGCTTTTTGTCAAAAGCACATTTGATATGGAGAGGGAATGTTTCAAATCAAGGGAGGGAGACTATGAAATAGAATAGAATATCGAAACAAGTGAGCTCAGCAGAACACATTCATATTTACTGGAGTTGAGTCATAACTTGCACCAAGTGTTGTGGTGTTTGCAGCTGAAACATCTAAGGGGTGCGAGTACTCCGCCCAGATTGATGCCGAAGCCGATCCTGTCTTCCTCGAGAACAGACTATCGGTCCGTACATTGTAGGACGGGAAGGAGGTTCTCTTTAAAGCAATTCCAGCCTCGCACTTTGATATTCTTCAGAACCCTGTCTCTCTCCCACCTTTAACCAGCTTGGGCGTCTCACCTGGCAGGTTCACGCATCACCCACACAGCACCATCACCCTCAAGAGGAGCTTGATTCTCTCGAGCAGGCACGGCATCCGGCGGAAGCTCATCAAGCAGCTGGGTGAGCACAAGCGGGTCTACCAGTGCAACATCTGCAGCAAGATCTTCCAGAACAGCAGCAACCTGAGCCGGCACGTGCGCTCGCACGGTGAGTGTGCGTGGAACGTGGCTGGGGAGGGACAGTGCGTGGCCGTCCTTCCATCACAGGTGCCCCTGCTGTGCACTGTGCAGGTGCCAGGTCTGCAGCTGTGGGAGAGATGGGCGGTGGTTCCCTCCCAAGATGAGTTACTTCCAACGTGGAGGGAGAGAGGGCTTAGTAGACCTTGTTGAAATATAACCAATCCAAACCAAAACACACCAGTATTATAGAGGCAGGGAGGGAGGTGATGGGGGCAATGGAATCCCATTTTTTAAAATAAATGCTTCGAGTGGTGAATCAGCTCTCTATTGGTTGATTCCTTAGGTGACAAGCTGTTTAAATGTGAGGAATGTGCAAAATTGTTCAGCCGAAAGGAGAGTCTAAAGCAACATGTTTCTTACAAGCACAGCAGGAATGAGGTGGGTGGAAATGACCTCAGGGCCCCCTCACAGTTTTGTAGAAGAAGTAGGTGACTGAGTCTGAATAATGGTGTTGGGAAGAGAGGGCATGAGTGTGCGGGTTGAGCGGCCATTAGGGTTGTGTGTCTCCTGGGACTTTAGCAGGGTCTGCACTTGGCCACATCCATACCTGCGTGCTACAGTGCTGACAAGGGCAGGGGGTGGGGTCTGGGAGAGCAGGAGGTTGGCCTTTGGAGTATAGTAAACTGAATGCAGGGTCTTATTATAGGACCATTGGAAGGAAAGAGTGAGTAAGCCACTGCGCTCCTAAACAGAATAGAAAACTAGTAGAGAAACTAAAAAAATCCTCATTGCCTTCAAGTCAAAATCGATCCAGAGCTGAGCCTCCAAGCTGGCTTCCAAGGCTGTGGTGGATTTGAACCTCCAGAAAGGTACTGCCTTTGGATTAGCAGGTCTCTAAGAACTGTGTCCCCAGAGCTCGCTAGTAGAGGAAGAGTTTTCAAATACACAGGTTTCTGAAAATGCTAGAGCAGTAATCCATGTGCACACATTTCCCATCCTGATGTGGTTCCACGTGAGCTCCTGCTAACCGTGCTCCCTGTTTGAAACCAGGTGGACAGTGAGTACAGATACCGCTGTGGTACCTGCGAGAAGGCCTTCCGCATCGAGAGTGCGCTGGAATTCCACAACTGCAGGACAGGTGAGGGGACACTTCCACATATGACTGTGACTTCGCCCTTCTCTCCGACTTTATCCAATTTTGGTTCTTTGATGTTGTTCTTAGTTGTTGTCGACTTGATTTTGATTTGCAGCAATTCCCTCAGTGTCAGAGCGGGGCTGCTCCAGAGGGTTCTCAGTGGCTGGGATTTTTTTGAGGCGGGTTGCCAGGCTTGTCTTCTGAGGGGTCTCTGTGTGGGGTCCAACTACAGACCTTTCAGTTAGAAGTCTGAGGCTTAACTATGCACCATGCAGGGACACCTGTTGATAACTTGATAGAAACTGTTGACTCTTTAAAAGGAACTTAAGATTGTTTTAATAAACAGACATCACCTTTAACATTTCCTTCTGCTTATTTGCTTCAAAGCACTTATGCTAAAGAGACACAGATGGAAACTTCCAATGTCAGCACTGATTTTCTTATTTCCTGTGAGTCTTCAATCAATCGAAACTCCATGTGGGCTTGCATGAGAGGCCGTAGTTGAGTGGGGTTTTTTGCCCTTGGTGAAGTGTGTGTTGAGAGGCATGTCTGGTGTGTTATAGAACCATGTGAAGACGTACGTAAAGGTCAACATAATAACTCCAGACAGCTTTGTAGGCAAATCAATGTAAAATATAAATTTATTTAAAAAAAAACTCCCAAAAGATTTCGTGGGTCATAAAAATGGCTCAGGTGGTTAGCTGCTGCAAGGCTGGAAGTGTGTGTCTATTCCAGCACCTCAGAACAAAGGTCTAGAGTGGTCTCTTTCTGAAAAATCAAGCACTGCAGACCGTACAAGCACAGTTCTACTCTTAGACATGTGTACTCTACATTGATTAGTGTTGACTTAACATCAGCTGTTTTAACAACTCTAAAAGGGAGAGCTCCGCCTCGTTTATTAGGAGCGATGTTCCTTAGCTATTAGGTACTCTTGGGCCATTTTGCTCATCAGCATACAGGATAGAACGCTGTTGATACCTTGAAGAATCCATTTTTTCTTCTGAGCTTTCTGTGTCCACCAGTTTCCAAAAAGAAATGAAAACTCATTCCTGTTCCAATGACATGTGGGGTTGGAAGCTGCCTTTCTCTGAGCTGCCTTTCTTTGTGGAGAGAGGAGATGTCGTCAGTCCTGTGGAGTCTGTAGCAGGCCACACTGTAGCAAGAGGGGCACTGACACAGGAATCCACTAGAACGTGCCCCTCTCCCTGTGTACTCCTGGTTATGTCATCTCCTCTCGGGCTCCCACAGTGGCTACGCTGGAGGCCTGAGCGCTGGGTAATAAGGGTCACACTGCCTTTGTGTAGATTCTCTCTCATGGAAATAGCAAATCCAGGAAGGGGGCACTGGTGGCTTTCAGTTAAGAGACCTGCCAGTTTATCACTTTATTTCACACCTCTGTTCTTGCTACTGCTTCATGTGTCTGGGCTGGTTATTAATGGAGATGCTGGGGCCTTGTCCCTGCATTTCTGTGAGAGCCATGACCAGCACTAGCCAGATGGAAGCAGCCCAGCCTTCAGCTCACCTGCTTCTGCAGTATCTGCTTTATATCTTGCGTCTGTTTCCATGTTGGGGCTCCTGTTTGAAACTGCCTTGTTTCTCTGCCACAGGCCTTTCGCTCCATAGTGGGTCTTGAGAGAATCTTTTCTTTTATCTGAGCATTAGCTGCAATGAAGGATAACTGGTGTGAAGTAGCCTTCAGAGACTTCTAGATGATTAAGTAATGTGTCATACCACCTGTTCTTTAAGCCCCTTCCTCCCTCTATCCCCAAGGAATTTAAGAGAATCCCTCTATTTCCATCTGAGGCAGTATCTGTCAGACAGACCACTTTTTGTTTTGTTCAGAGCTGCAGTCAGGATGGGACCCCTCCCGCTGGCATTACACTGTTCCTGGTTATGAGTGCTAATGTGTCAGGACCACAGAGAGAGAGAGAAGCCCCTGGACGGGCAGCTCAGGTTGGGAAGCCAGTTGCTACATGCCAGTCATCAGTTCTGTTAAATCAGATGTTTGTCTTTGTTCATTAGCTGTTGGGTCAATTCTGACTGACAGTGATTCTTTAGGATAGAGTAGAATCCATGACTGTAAATCTTATGTGGAAGCCAACTCACCACATTTTTCGGTCAAGAAGGTGGGTTTGAATGCTAAGCTTTAGAATAGCAGTCAAGTGCTTAATCACTGTGCCATCCATGTATTGAAAGGCAGTTTTTTTTACCTTGAAAATTAAAGGCTAAAGCCTTGGAACTGAGCTCATTTGTGTATGTAATGTTTGCCTGCTTTCTTTTAATGTTTGTATTGGAGTTGTTGTTGTGTAATGTAACTTCAAGTTGGAACCCATCCATAGCTGGCCCTTCAGTGGATTTTCAGAGGCAGTAAATCGCATGGGAGGTTGATTGCTCATCCTTCTCCTGCAGAGCAGCTGGTGGGTTTGAATGATATACCTTTGTGGTCGCAACGCAGTTTCTTACCGCTCGGCCACCAGGGCTCCCTCTTGGAGTTAGGAGGATGCATATCTCCCTTGGGTTGTTAAACTGAGAATCTGTATGATGTGAAGGATGCACGCAATGTGGAGGTTGGTGGTTTTTTCCCTCCAGCTTTCCCTCAGTGGGACATGTCTTTGTGTTTATCCTGTGAGGTGTGACTAGTTATTGACATCATCCATCTGACTGGTGAAGAACGGAAAGGCTGAAGTTCAGCCTCCTAGGTAGCCTGGTTCTCTCCCAATTGATCCTCTCTGTCTCTAGGGACTCTTTGAATTATACTTTCATCAGGCCCAGGTAACAGGTACCTCTGATGTAAGTTACTACCTCTTATGAAAGTGTATAAGAGAGACCCCACGGCAGCAGCACCATGGATGGAGAAGGGCTGTGGTTGGGAGAAGGTGCCTTCCTGAGTTCTTGTCTAGTGCCTGTGGCTGGAAATTCACCCATGTGACATGGTCAACTTTTTCTGGAACAGCTCTGCCCTGTGTCTCATCTCAGATAGAGCAGAGGTCCCCCTTAAAGCTCTGGGAAATGGCACTGGGAGAGACTTATGAGTGAGGAAACTAGATGGGATGTCTGGCCTGCTGTCTGCCCTGGGTTGGTGGAGCTCCTTACTGAGGACATGGGCATGTCTGTTCTCTGACAGGGAGGGCAGGCTTCCCGGGCACTTCTCACCTGCAGGGAGGTCCCCCTGTACTTCTGGCTCCTTGTGCTGTCCTGTACCTGCTCTTTATCAAGCCCAGGCTGGACTGAGGGGGAAGGGTCTTTGGCCCCTTCAAAAAACAAAATGGCAGGAGACTTGGGATTTTTTAGTCCTGTTTTTCAAAATTCTTGTTAAGGAACTATGGGCCAAGGAAAAAGGAGTATTATTTAAAACTGCATTAAAAAATTAACTACAAGATCAAAGATAATGAAGTAAACAGTAGAAAATTCAACTGGATTGAGTAGTATGTGTTGTTGTTGTTAAGTGCTGTCGAGTCGCAGGCGACTCATAGCGACCCTATGAAGGAGAGTCCTCGTAGCTTGGGTGTCTCTCATCCTCTCTCCAGGTTCATAGGATTTCCAGAGGCAAGCTATTACGGAAGTGGATGCCACTCCTCCTTCCACGCTTGTTTAATTGGGGAGCTCCACCCCACTCTCTGTCCGCATTGGGTAACCAACTATTAATTCATTTGACACATCAGTGTCACAGTGTTCACCCTCAGGGCAACCACCTAATATTTGTTGTTGTGTGCCATTGAGTGCGAACTGACTTATAGTTGACTCTCCAGCTGACCTTTCAGAGGTGTAAATCACACAGGAGGAGATTGCCCATTTTTCTCCCATGGAGCGGCTAGTGGAGTCGAACTGCTTGTGTTTGGGTTAACAGTGCAACTCCTTACCACTAGACCACCAGTGCTCCCTAGTTTTTAGGGAGCATATATAAATGATAAATATACATATATATTAACTCTGGTGGCCTAGTGGTAAGGAACTTCCCGGCAATCTCAAAGGCACACAGTTCAATCTACCAGCTGCTCCACAGGAGAAAGATGGGCACTCTCTTCCTGTGGAGTAAACTGCCTCTGAAAACCCATTGGAGGTCAGCTATGCATCGGTTCAGACTCAGTGGTATACAACAACATGTATATGTATATGTATATGTATATGAATAAAATAAAATGAGTGTATAAGTCTCATGTTTAGAATATATAAACCTGATGTTGATGAGCTCTGGTGTTCTAGTGGTAAGAAGCTATGCTGCAGTCCCTCCTTTGTGACTGAGTGCTTCTGAAAACCAGCTGGAGAGTCAGCTCTGCATCGGTTCCAACTTGACCACACACACAATGTTTAGAAAGAAAATATAAACGCATGTTCCTTTGTTGTTGTTATGATTCATAGCGACCCTATGAACAATAGATCTGAACTCTGTCCTGTTCTGTACTGTCCTTATCATCCCTGACACATTTAAGTCCTTTGCTGCAGACACTGTATCAGCCCTCCTCATTGAGGGTCTTTCCTTTGCTGACCCTCATTCCAAATGTGATGTCCCTTTCCAAGGATTAGCCTGTCCTGACAACCTGACCAAAATATGTGAGACCAAACTTCACTAACTTTTGCCTTCAAAAAATAGCTTCATTGAACATCTCTAAGACATACGTGTTTGTTCTTTTGGCAGTCCATGAGATATTGAGCAGTCTTCTCTAGTACTACCCAAATGCATCAGTTCTTCTCCTGTCATCTTTATTCATTGTCCATCTCTCAGATGCATACATTCCATTCTGCTTTTTTACAACTTCCAATTTCCTCTATTCATACTTTGTACATTTCATGTTCCAGTCATTAATGGATGTTTACAGCTATTTTTCCTTACTTTTTAATATCCTGCATGATAGGGATACTACCTCAAGTGTTATGCCTAACAGTGTTCTTTTGAATTGTCAAAGTCTGGCTATTTCAGCATTGGATGACCAGTACTTCTTCTTAGTCTGTCTTAACCTGCAAGCTCTGCTGAAATTTACCCACAATGACCTGCTGGTAGTAAAATACTGATGGCACAGCCTCCAGCATCATAGCAGCCAGCAAGCTTGTTGTTAGGTTCTGTTGAGTCGAGTATGACTCATAGCGACCCTCTGAACAATAGATCTGCCTATCCTGCGCCATCTTCACACCTCCTGAAACAGTCACCATGTCCACGTGGTTGAGGGTCTTCCTCTCCTTTGCCAGCCTCCAGCCTTCACATCATCATGTCCCTCTCTAAGAAACCACCCCTCCTAGCAACATGCCCAAAGTATGTGAAGCGAAGCCTCATCATTCTTGCCTCCAAAGAAAACACCCCAGCTGCACCCTCTCCAAGACATATCTGTTTGTTTTCTTGGCCGTCCATGGGATGTTTAGTGCTCTTCTCCAACACCACAGCTCAAAGGCAACAGTTCTTCTTCTCTCATCCTTATTCATTGTCCAGCTCTCAGATACATAACAAGTGATCAGATACACCTTTCCTCAAACTGACATCATTACTCCTCAATAATCTGGAGAGGTCCCTAATTGCAGATTTTTCCAGTACAATGCGTCTCTTTATTTCCTGACTGCTGATACCAAGGGTATTAATTGTGGATCCAAGCAAGATGAAGCTGCTGACAGTTTCAGTCTCCTCTCCATCCATCATGATGCTGTCTATCAGTTCAGTGGTAAGAATCTTTGTTTTCTTGACACAGATAAAATCCATACCAAAGGCTGCATTCCTTGATCTTCTGCCACACGTGCTCAAGTCCTCCTCACTTTCAGCAAGCGAGGTTGTATCATCTGCATACTGTAGATATGTGTACACAGACCACCAAACACTAAGTTAGAAAGGTATGAGGAGTGGAGTTATATGATCACTTTATGGGGTAGACAAGAAGTACGAGCAGTGTGGGCTGGACAGCAACATCCAGGCAACGAAGGCCCTGAGTCAGGACCATGCTATAGGCCAGCTTTCCCTATCCTAGCCTCCAGCTGTCATTGCTCAATGCCTAGCCAGCTCAGCTTGCCCGGAGAGTGCCATTGGGCCAGCTCAAGATTAGCACTATGGGCCCAGAGGGAACCAGAAGGAGGAGCTTGCTCGGTTTCCTGGGTACTTAGAGGGAGAATTGCCACAAGAGTGTGTGAAGTAGACAGAAAAGGCTGGTACCCTGGGTACATAAAGCACGTTTTGGCAGTACATGGTTGAGCAGGGCCTAGAAGGTGAGGCAGTGACCACATGGCTGTAAACTCTTATCCTCAGGTTGGGTTGTGTGCCTGTATGTAAGTGAAAGGGTATGCCTGCCAGTGTGTGAGTGAGAGAGTCTGAAAATGAGTGGGTGAATGAGTATGTGTATGTGTGATAGTTGACTGATGGGAGTAATACAGAGTCTGTGACTGTATATGTGAGTGAGAATGGAAGTGTGTGTGACAGAGTCTGAGTGTGTGTGTCATGTGACATGTTTAATAGTGTGTCTGTGGGTGACAGTGTCAGAGTGTGTGAGTGTGTGCTGTGAGTGGGAGTGTGGGTCTGTGCACAAGTGTGCATGTGGTATGTGAAGGTTTCTGCTGCAGGGAGATCTAGGAAAAATGTCGGGTTTATTAAAATGGTGAGAGGAACATGGGGATATCTAAGTGCTGTTGGAATAGAGCCTGTGGAAAGGGAAGTTGGGAGAAAGGAAGGAGGAAGGGAATTGTGTATGGTGTCTGCCCTTGAGGAAAACAGCAGAGGTTAGGGAGAGCTTGAAAAAGGACCCTGTCTGAGAAGAAGGCAATCTGGAAAATGACTAAGAATGACAGAAGAAGAATTGATGCCTTTGAGTTGTGGTTCTGGAGAGGAGTCTTGAACATACTGTGGACCCCCAAGAAAACACATAGGTCTGTCTTGGAGAGGGTCCTCTGAGGACCACCACGCCAACTGGGACTGGCACAATGTATGACACAGAGAGCCACAGCCTCCTTTAATGGAGGTGAGGCACCAAAGAGAGTGTTAGTTCCGGTACCCTCCCATCAGCACTTCTGTGGAGGTGAGGGATGTGTGACATGAGCGGGAAGAGGGTTGAGGTAATGGGGTCATGATAGAATTGGAAGCTGTTTGCTGTTCAAGTTGGGAGTGAGGCTGCTCACACACATTTATTCTGCAGTGACCGGCTTTTGGATTGATGACATAAGACAGAGCAGGACAGTCTCTTGGCTGTGCTGCCACTGTGACTCCCCCTCCTTTTCCTTGTTGCTTCTCGCTATTACTAGTATCCATCGTTGAATCTTCATTAAACACTACTCACCTCAACATTGTTTGTTTGTTTGCTTTCCGGACAGATGACAAGACATTCCAATGTGAGATGTGTTTCAGATTCTTCTCCACCAACAGTAACCTTTCCAAACACAAGAAGAAGCATGGGGACAAGAAGTTTGCCTGTGAAGTCTGCAACAAGATGTTCTATCGCAAGGATGTCATGCTCGACCACCAGAGGCGGCACCTGGAAGGTGAGCCCCCCCTCCTGGGGTGAGCACCTCAGTGAGGGGCCGGGCTGAGGGAGGTGGGCACTCCTGCTCTGGGGAATGTAGCTGTTGACACACTCTCTTTGAAACCAGTGTGACACTCCAGGAACCTTGAGAATTCCCACCATTTGATTCAGGGATCGCCTCTGGGAATCTAAATCAGACACTTGTGTTGTTGTACAGATGTTTTGCATGTTAATAGTGTTATGTATAAGGAGAAACCACTTCAGTCACAAATTTCTAGGTCGGTGGTTCAAATCCACACAGCAGTTCCACAGGGAAAAAAAAATGCCTAATGACAGCCTTGAAAACCCTATAGGCCAGTTCTGCTGGGTAACATGGAACCACCACAACTTGACAGCAGCTAACAATGTTAATAGAAAAGATAAGAAACAACCTAAGAGTTCTACAGTGGGAGAAGGATTAAGAAATTACTCATGGAGTTGAATGTTACATGGTAACTCAGAGCAGTGTGTTCTAAGTTTCTGATACCATGGTCTTGATATGACAGAAAGTAGGAAAACATAAGTATATGAAGTTGTGTATGTGGTGTGCTTCCAACCTATATGCAAAGAGAACATTCTAGGTGCATATTGGTGGGGACACTGTGAGTGCTTTCTTCACGTCTCTTCTTTGTTTCTCCATGGTAAGCATTATCTTTCACAGGGCCCCTGGGTGACACGCTGACATTTGTAGCAACCTGAGAGTTCAGGGAAAGGTGGCGTCTTCATGTAATGAGCTTATAAACTTAGAAAGTGTATAAGCTAACAAGACCCACCAGTGACTGTGGAGTCCACTCCAATCCATGGCAGCCCCGCATGTGTCGGAACAGGACTGTGCCCCACAGGATTTTCAGTGGCTAATTGAAGGACAGCGACCACATTCTGAGGTGCCCCTGGGTAAACTCAAGCCACTAACCTTTGGTTCACTGCCAAGTATGTTAATTGTACCACCCAAGAACTCCATGAGATGCCACAGACAGTAAAAAAAGTAGGAAGCCCAGAGAATTTCCATGTTCAGTTTTATGTGATTTCCTTACGTGGATTTGATTGACTGTGAGGTCAGGACATGTGGGGGCACTTTCTAACCTGCCTGGCCACCACTCAGGAATCACCTCATGACATAAACCCTCTGTGTGGTCTAGAGTCCCAGAGAAAACAAAGGCTCCCAAGGATTCAGAGGTTCTCTCTCAGGAACCAAGGACTAAGGCCAGATTCTTTGAAGAGAGTTGGTTTTAAAGCCCACTGTATCATTTGTCAAGTTACATTTCTCAGCTCACTACACACAAAGTGAGGATAATCCCAATCCCTGCCCCACCAGTTAGTGTCATGTGAATTGAGACCAGCTCAGAAGGCTCTGAGCTGCATGCCTGTGGCATGTGTTTGAGGGTATTGGCCACGGCTGTCACGGCAGAAGTTCTGTTTCCCTTGTGGCTGTCAGGTGTTATGTTGTCAGGTGCCATTGAGGCGAGTACGACCCATAGTGACCCTGTGAACAACAGACCTGAATCCTGTCCTGTCCTGTGCCGTCCTTACAATCGAGAGATTGTGTGTCTTTCAGCTAGACCCTTGACCTTATATAGCTCACTTCTAATGCAGACCGTTGTATGTAGACATGCACTAGTGTTGTGCTTGCTTCATGAGGTATTTTCCTTTATAGTAGGAGTTCAGACTGCCAATCTTGTAGTTAGCAGCCAAGCACTTAACTGCTGTACCCCAGCCTAGTTCACCTAATACCAGCCCAATCCTGTGGGGTCTGTTCCAATTCACTGGGACCCTGTAGGAGTAGGACTGCCTCACAGGGTTTCCACGATGTAAATCTTGATGGAAGTAAACCGCAACATCCTTCTCCAGTGGCCTGGCTGCTGGATTTGAACTGCCTCCTTTAGAAGTACAGCCTAGCAGTTCATGTAATGTGTGGAACCCAGCTCCTTTTAACCCCTGGTAACCACTAATATACTTTGATCTCGGTGTATCTGACTATTCTAGACATTTCATCAAAATGGGATCATACGGTATTTGTCCTTTTGTTTGGCTTATTTCACTCATGGAGCCCTGGTGGTGTAGTGTGATGCGTGTGTAGCTGCTAATTGAAGGGTTGGGGATTTTAACTCACCAGCTGCACCATGGGAGGAGACTGCACTATGGCAATCTCTTAAGGATTCACAGCCTTGAAAACCTTATGGAGGGTTGTCAAGAGTCCGGATTGACCCTGCAGACGTGCATTTGGGTTTGATTGAGTTCTTCCACTCGAGGAGTCCTAGTAGTACAGTGATTAAAGCACGTGACTGCTAACCAGCAAGTTCATGGTTCGACTTCATTAGTGACTCTGGGAGATTGATGCCACAATCTGACTGTAAAGGTTTACAGCCTTGGGAACTCTGTGTGGTGTCTCTGCTCAGCCTTGTAGGGTCATCATGCATTGAATCAACTGGACATCAGTGGCTTTGGTTTTTGGTTTCTTTGATTCAGCATAACATATTCAAGGTTCATCCATGTTGTAGCATTATCAATTCTTCACTTTCCTTTTTGATTGAATAATATTGCATTGTGTGCTTATACCACCTTTTGTTTGTGATACGAGTTTTCAGGAGTCTGCTTTGATGCCTGTTATTAACCAAACCCCCAGATCCCCTGTTGTACAGTCAGTTCTGACACAGGGCTACCCTCCGTCAGTTCTGGGCTTGTAACTTTTGATAGGAGCGGATGACTTTGTCTTTGTTCTGCAGAATAGCTTTGAACCACTGACCTTTAAGGTTAGCTGTTAGACTCATAACTTACTATGCCAGCAAGACTCTTCTGTGATGAATGATGTGCCTGGAAACGGTACAGATTTTATTGTCACTGACACTGCACTCCAGTCCGGAGTCTGCTCATTAACTCGTGCAGTAAGAACAGTTGCGTCCCTTTGATTGAAATGCCTGCCTACTTACAGCCATGGAAGGGAGTCATGATGGTGCTCTGAACCTTTAGCCTGAACAAAAAGACCTTCTTCAGTAGTAGCTCACCATAACTCACACTGTAAAATTGAAAAGATGAAAAGCCCTTAAACTTCGAGGTGTTCCCAGTGGGAGAGCCAGGTCACCAACCCCACAGCCCTTTCTGGGGCAGACAGCCTTCTTTCTCATCAGTCCTTAGCCCCCTAGGAGAGGCCAGGGGCCGTGGTCATTTGCTCTGTGTGCCAGCAGTTACTCACATCCCTATGTACCTAACCCTCTGTCCAGCGAGAAGTGCCGATTCAGAACCGATCTGTGTTGACTGTTTCTCATACACTCTCTGGTGTTGGGGCCTGGGGGTTTCAGGAGTGAGGCGAGTGAAGAGGGAGGACCTGGAGGCAAGCAGTGAGAACCTGGTCCGATACAAGAAAGAACCTTCTGGATGCCCCGTCTGTGGCAAGGTAACACTCGCTGTCACTTCTGACATCTGAAACACAAGTGTGCTGTTCTTCAGTGAAAACTGAGAGCAATTATCCAGAAAACATTAAGGGGAGAACAGGTAGCTTTTTTTTGGGTAGTCTATGTAAGTGTCCACCCATGTTTACATTTTTCACTTAATCTTCTAAAGGAATTATTTTGTTGTTATTGTGTGCAAATAATTAACAGCAAAATACACCTATTCAGTAAACTCTACATGTATAATTCAGTGATCTTCTTCAGGCTCTGTAACCATTCTCACTCTCCTTTTCCAGATAGTTCTACCATTAATGTACTGCCTGCTTAATGTGCCCTAAACAAAGCTTTCCCTCTTCCCCTGTGAGCTGGGAAGGGTAACTACTATGTTTCAATGTCTTTAAATATTATGTTGTTGTTGTTGATTGCCTTTGAATAGAGCACAACTCATAGCGACCCAATGAACAAAAGGCCTGAAGCTCCTCTACAATTATCGAAATTTATCAAAGTTCATAGAGTTACCAAAGGCATGTTATTTAGGATGTGGATGCCACTCCTGCTTTTATAATATGTTACTGATTTTATAGTTTTGCCTAATTTCCAGGAAAATGTTTCTCTTTCTATGTTTTATTTTTATGCCATAAGAGAATCTAGGTTAACTTGATGTTTTGTAACATTCAGCCTTACAAAATGGTTAAGAATAAAGGATACAGTTAAAATATGTACAAGAGTTAGCCTGCAGATACTGGGGTTTTTGTTCTTTGAGAGCAGGGGTGAAGTCTGCATGCTGTGTGAGGTGGCAATTTTCATTTTTTTTCTGGGAGGGCTTCCACATAAGTTCTTTTCACATTCCTTGCCCAGTGTGCGGCTCTTTTTAGAAGTCTCTTGAAAGCATTTTGCTTTCCTGAACCACCCTTTGTAAGGAAAGCTGGAAAATGCCTAACTCTGTATTATAGACAGATAAGCATGCATGTCACTGATTCGAAAAGAAATAATTATTCGAGCATCAGGTAATGATTTGTGACACTCCACCACAGTGGAGTGGTCTGAACTTAAGTTTAGGCGTGAACCGTATTGTGTTTGTGCTCCTGGTTATGGTTAATCGGATGATGGTGCGTGGTGACAGCTGTATCATATTGGACAGCCCCCAGCCTCTAACTGGTCCATGTCCTGCCGCCCCCAGGTGTTTTCCTGCCGGAGCAACATGAACAAGCACCTGCTGACCCATGGCGACAAGAAGTACACCTGCGAGATCTGTGGGCGCAAGTTCTTCCGGGTGGACGTGCTCAGGGACCATATCCACGTCCACTTCAAGGTACCTGGGCCCCTTTGTCTTCCTCTTGCCTGGTCACTGCAGCGGGAGACCTTAGATGTCCGGGGTCACCTGGCAAACTCTGAGTGCTGTGTGTGCATCATCCCCAGCCTGATGACAGGACTAAAATCCTACCACCCTGTGGTTCTCTAGGGTAAAAGCAGGAGTGGGTGATGGTGTTTGTAGCCCTTGCAGCCTCTGTGGGAAGCGGGCAGCTGCATGGGGAACAGAGAAGCAGCAGTGAGGATTTGAGGTGATTAATAAGGGCGGGGAGAAGATGCTGATACAGAAAAAGCATGAAGAAACAGTGGGATCAGTAAAAGTTGATGTGGCGCGGATGGGGGTGGTCATGTTTCCCCAGGTCAGTCAGGGTACAGTTGTGCTCTGTAGGGTTTGTTTTCGACAGCTGAGTCTCAGCAGTGGTTCATGAGCCCTTCTTCTGAGGTGGACCCGTACCTCTAAGAAGTGAAGCGTGTTAACCATTTCTACCACATGGGGCCTCTAAAGGTAACATAAGAGGCCTCGGCAAAGAGGAGGTGCTTACTGCTGGCAGAAGTGGTCTTTTTGCTCTGAGTCACTCTCAGCCCTGAGACCCAGGTGGGATCTGGAGGCAGATGTGAGCAAAGTGATGGGGCTAGGCAGTGAGATCCGTGTGCTCGTGCAGAGTCCACATGAAGTACTGAGAGCTTACGGGAGAGGCCTGAGAGGAGTCTAGAATTCCAGGTGCTTTTCCATGGGACCTTTTTGATGACGTGAGACTCAACAGAGGTGAGGGGCCCGGTTCACAGTAAGTGACCATGAATAAAAAAAGGAAACAAACAAGTAGTTGCTGTGTGGTTGATGCCGATGGACTGAAAACTAGGCGTCCAGTGACTGGTTTTTCAGAAGTAAATCACCAGCCCTTCTTTCTGAGGAACCTCTGGCTGTTGAATCGCTAGCTGTTCAATTTACAGCCACAAACATGAACTGTCTGCTCCATTTTCCTCTCTTTCTAGCCTCTTAGAATCTTATTCTCTGTAAGACTTTTCTTTGCAATTGAAAAATTACACAAAACTCTGTATCATTAGATAGTGGTACAATAGAAGAAACGAAACAGTAAGCCTTTGTGAAACATCTTTTTGCCTAAGAAGTAGGAGAAAAGGACAAGGGATAGAGGTAGTGAGCGTTCCTAAGGAAATCATTCCTGCCTTTCCCAGAAGCTTGTGTTTTGCTTAGAAATGGACAGTTTGTCTCACAGCCGAGCCTCCCGGGAACACTGTTGGCAGACAGACTGTGGAGAGGGGAGCAGATGGGTTCGGAGGGTGTCGTCTTCACTGAGGAGGAGCCTTCACTTGGGGGCTCTATTTGGTTCTTTTCTCCAATGAATATTGTGGGGCAGCTGTAGGGTCTCCCCTTCTGTGCTGGAGACCAAGGTTTGATTCCCGGTCAATGCCTTTCTCTGTTCCTGTAGGCTTAGGTGCTGCTGGGATGCTGACCAAGTTTCAGGAGAGATTCCAGATTGAGGTTAGGAAAAAAGGTCTGGCTATGTATTTCCACAAATCAGCCAGTGGAAACCTTTGGAGCACAGTAGCCCAGCCAACCCCGATTGATTTGGGGACAGTGGGGAACTGGACAGTGTTTGGTTCCATTGCACATGGGGTTGCTGTGAATTGGGGGCTTACTTGATGGCAGTTAGCAGCAAGAAAAATACCAAAGGTATGCTTCTTGCAGTCTCTTCTCAGAGAAATATGTGGAACTTTAGGGACACCCTTGCATGGTCTTGTAGAAGAGATCTTGGTGGTCCCCAGACTCTCTGGTTGACAGGTGACACTGTTGAGGCTGGGAGGAGTTTGGACACATAGTCCCCTCACCACCAGGCCTGGCTGAACTCTGGATTATTGTCTCCACAGTGGAGCCGGGCCTGAATGTGCAAATTACATCAGCATACAAGCAGGGCCTGGTACCTCACTTTCTGAGTAGAGTATGTCTTAAGGCACCAGGGTTTTGGAGCCTGAGGGCCCAGGTTGGAGGTACCTGAGATACACAGGAAATCATTAGACGTCTTGCATATCTCTTTGAGGTGAATAATTAACTAGAACCAAGTGACAGAAATATCTATGAAAGTTCCAGCCTGCCTGAGTGAGGAGTCAGACGTCCTGCTTGTGTTTTCCAGGACATCGCCCTGATGGACGACCACCAGAGGGAAGAGTTCATCGGCAAGATTGGAATCTCATCGGAAGAAAATGATGACAATTCCGATGAAAGTGCGGACTCGGAGCCTCACAAGTACAGCTGCAAAAGATGCCAGGTAGCTGCACCAGCCTCCCTGTGAATGCTGGGGCCACAGGAGAGGAAGCCTTCCTAGTGCAGGGGCCTACACCCCACACACTCCATGGCTCTTGCTCAGTGCACTGTACAGGGGCATGCTGCCTGGAACACCCCACATCCCTGTACTAGCCAGGGCACTTTCCACACACAGCCTGTGCCGCACATGGTGCTCCTTTATTTCCCCTGTGCTGGGTACCCATCCACGACGAGACAAGTCCTGGAAGGCTATCTTACATGCTTTGGGTGTCCCCATGTCATATAGACGACTAGCACCCAAGCCCTTGCTGGATTTGGTCCCTGCACACACAGCCTGTGTCTGTCCCAGGAGGGGCTGCCTTCTTCATGTTCACGAGTGCAGACTGTGGGTTGGCTTCTCTCTCCTCTTCTTCCCCTCCTCTCTCCTACCCAAAAGCCCGCCACTGAAACCTACCTAGCATGGTAAGGGGCATCTGCTTAGAGGGAGGGTCATTTTGTTCCCTTGGGGCCATGCACCAAGTTCTCAGCCCCTGCTGTGCTGGTGGGGACCCACGTTAGGGTCCCTTTGCCCCAGGAGGAGGCCTGGGAAACATGACTCCCCTCCCAGTATCCCTCAAGATCAAAGACACTTCTAAAGTAGTGAGGTGGGTGGTCATGCATCCCTCAGGACCACGGAGAGTGTTGCAAGCCAGGGAGGTGGAGATGAGGTGGAAGAGGAAGAGAGTTCAGAATACCATCTAGAGAGGAGACTTGGACAGGGAGCAGGTCTCCATGCAAGAGTTAGGGAAGACCTGAAGGGGAACTTCCTAACTTCAGCCCCTTGGTACTTTGTGGGGCCAAGTCTTGCCTGCCCTGTAGTATCCCCTCTTGGTGTGAGTCCAGATCTCTCAGCAGGCACCAAAGACCATGTGAAGAGTGAAAGTGACATACATGGCTGACAGGGACCGGGGCCTGTGGTGCCCTGTCCTTTGCCTGTTGTCACAGGTGACCCCCTGTCTGTCTGTCCTTAACGCCCACAGCTTACCTTCGGCCGGGGGAAGGAGTACCTGAAGCACATCATGGAAGTGCACAAGGAGAAGGGCTACAGCTGCAGCATCTGCAACCGCCGCTTTGCCCTCAAGGCCACCTACCACGCCCACATGGTCATCCACCGGGAGAACCTGCCAGACCCCAACGTGCAGAAGTGAGACCTGGGGCAGACAAGGGCCAGACACCTTACTGCTGCTTGTCGCCTCTAGCCAGGCTCTACTTCTTCACTGTCCCCTCCCTCAACCCTGTCACCAAAACAAGGAAATCCACGGTCTGGCAAGACACCTCACAGAAAGGATAGCACAGTTCTCAGCCAGCCTTCAGAACAGCCAAAACACTCTCACACCCACCATTGTTAGGTTTCTTCATGTCAGCCTCCAGTCTCTGGTAACCCAGCTCACTATGGCTGCTATATTGAGTAATTTAAAAGAGTGAATGTTATTAGTCATTATCAGTAAGAAGACCTTATTTTCAATGAGAACAAAATTCCAAAGAAATATTTTGGTCCTTAGGATTCAAAATGTTCAACCTAATACCTTGATTTTTTTTGTTGTTGTTCAGTTCAGGGTTCTATAAATATATTCAATTTGTTGTTAAAAGAAAGTTAATACCCTCACCTCCTTCTATCCCCAACATGTTTTTCCCCAATAAATTTTTTTTAAAAAATAAAGTTAATAAATGAATTAATAAACCATTCGGGGGCGGGGGCGGAGGAAAGAATGAATGAGCCTAGTTTGAGGTGGAATGCTTGGGCTTCTTCCTATCACTGTTGCTGATTGGGGTGCTGAGGGAAAGCTGCCTCTGGCAGCGGGGCTGGATTCCTGAGCATCTCGCCTCTGGTTCCAGGTACATCCACCCCTGTGAGATCTGTGGGCGCATCTTCAACAGCATTGGGAACTTGGAGCGGCACAAGCTCATCCACACAGGTGAGTGGTAACGTTTGTCAGGTGATCCCAGCCCAGGGGAGCAGGGACATAGTGTGACCAACCCAAGTGAGTTGTCAGGGCACTTGGTCTGACCCAACTTCTCCGTAAGTGAATTCCCACTCCTTTCCCCAGGTTCTATACCTGCCACGCCACACCCCCATCCCCTAGCACTGCCCACCTCGTCTTGCACCCTCTTCAGGATCATCTCTTTGCTAGAAGGGAGAGTCTTCCTCCGTTATTAACTTCTGTGTGAAAGTCAAAGGTGTGAGTTTGCAGCTTTGACTTTTGGATTTTGTTTTAAGGTGTGAAAAGCCATGCCTGTGAGCAGTGTGGGAAATCCTTTGCCAGGAAGGACATGCTTAAAGAGCACATGCGTGTGCATGACAACATCCGAGAATACCTGTGCGCCGAGTGTGGGAAAGGTATGTGACACCCACCCTTCCACCCCGTGTAGACTGAGTGCTAAACCATGTGGCAGAGGGCGTGCTAGGCAGTGTAGGCCAGCGGCTGGGATGTGGAAGGGAATGCCTTAAAAGGAAAGAGAGATGAATACTATGCAGCATGCAGGAGCAATAACTTTGTAAATTATTGCCTAACTTAGGAGGGACTGGAGAGCATTATGCTGCGTGAACTAACTCAGTCACATAAGGATAAATAGTGTATAAAACCGAAGTTGGGATGCTCCTTGGAGTCAAGGATTCTGAAGCTTCGTCTAACATACTTTGGGCATGTTGCAAGGAGGGACTGGTCCTTGGAGAGGGACATCATGTTTGGCAGAGTGGAGGGGCGGCCAAGGAGAGGAAGACCTTCGATGAGATGGATTGAGTCTGTGACTGGAGCAGTGGGAATAAGTGGGTTTGAGATGGCTAGGTTGGCACAGGATAGAACGGTGTTTAGAGCTCTTGTACATAGGGTCGCTATGAGTTGCAAACAACTCGATGGCACATAACAACAACAAGACAGTTATTGTAGAATGAGTATAATGATCCAGGAGGGGTGGGAGAGGCTGGAAACAGAGGGATGTGGATGTACAGCGGGAAGGGGGGACTAATCATTGGGTTGTACAATTTGATGGGGAGGGGGCTCAGGGAAATTGAAAGAACTTGTTCAAATTTGTATTTGAATTTTGTAAATAAACTAGTAGGGGATAAAAAAAAAAGGAAATAGAGATGAAGACATCGTCTCGCAAAATGTGAGAGTTGTTGCCAAAGCTGTGTCTGAGGTAAATCTGTAACTTAAATAATTTACTTGAAAAGAGAAAAGGGGGAAAATAAGTGTAAATATTCAGATCAAGAATTTAGAAGAGAGATAAATGAATCCAAATGACAAAAGATGTTATTGATTTAATGCACAGATGCATTATTTTAAAGTAGGATAATCCAAGTCCCTGGTTGATACAAATAGTATATGCTCAGCTGCTCCCAAATGTGGGAAGTTTGATTCTACCTGTTGGTGCCTTGGAAGAAAGACCTGGTGATCCACTTCTGAAAATTTGACTTTTGAAAACTCATTCTTGAAGTTCATGCCATGCTCCATCCTCATCACCAACACCACTATTCAGATGTGTAATTTTCATTTTCGCTCTCCAGCATATAGGAGATTGAAAAGATTGGTTTGGGTGTGGTGCACTCTGTGCTTTTTAAAATGGTAGAGAACCATTCAAATGTAAACCTTCTGGCTTTGATCAGGAACAGCATCATTATCTTTTTAATTGAAAGCAATGACACATGCACCAAGCCTCAAAATATGAGTAATGGAAAACCCAAATGAATGAATGATGAACCAACCCTGTTGTCATCAATGTAATTCCAACCCTTAGTAACATGACATGAACATTTTCAAGGCTATAATCTTTACAACAGCAGAATGCTGTCTTTCTTCTACAGGTTCAAATCACTGACCTTTACTTTAACAGCCAAGTGCTTAATCACCATACCACCAGTGTTCCTTAAATACATAAAACATATGGATTAACAGAGAAAAGCTACTAGGACCTCTGGACTACCCCAGTGCCCTCTTGCTAAAACCCATTGTCAGTATTTTCTGTGAACACACCCAGGTATTTCTCTGTATACAGTGGTGCTGACATTACTGGGTATGTGGTGCGTGTTAAGTAGATCCTCTCTCATTGCTGGATGTTGGTTCTGACTCATATAGCTGATCATATAGCAGCAGGTTTCTGAGGCTGTAAATTGCACTGGAAGAGACTGTCCATCTTTCTCCCCTGTAGCCACTGGTGGATTTGAACCACCAGAGAAGCTCGGCATTTATGTTAACAACACATCTCTCCATAGACTGTACCATCAGAATTCCCTTTTTACTAGGTGCACACTGGTATTTCAAATGCTTGGTCTGCAGCCTCTGCCACCTTCCTTGGCTCACTTTCTAATTGTAACACACCCTTTTACCCTTTGTTGTAGTTCTTCCAGACCCTTCTACATACCCTCATCTCCTCTCCTGTTCCCTTTCCCCTGAGTCTTCCCCACTGCACCTAAGAGTAAAATCTTTGAAAATGAGGTGGGCCTTTGTGGAACATTTGTGGATGGGGAAGGTTAGAGATGGTCATGGTAGGGCCATGGATTCAAAGGTCCTGGGAGGCTACATTTGGCTATTTGAAATGTATTCAGTATTTAGCTTCACCCATTCTTTTATGAATTCTGAGTGCTTTAAATGTAATATTGGTATTAATACTTTGGTATTTATTCAACAAAATGCCCAGGTATGGCTACTATCATGTTGCGTCCATATTACAATCCCTAGCACCTACAAGAAATGCTTGTGTATGTCTGTTCTTTATACACTATATCCCATAGCATGTTTTTTCTCTACTTAAACATACAGAACTTTTGGCTGTTGTAAATAGTGCTACAATAAACATAGGTATATTTTTCTTTCTCTGTGGGAAAGAAAAAAATAAACCAGAGCTTAAGTATCTTTTCAAATTAGAACAAATATTGCCCAAACAGTACTGAACTCTGCTCTACCCTGAGCCAATCTCACTGTCTCCAACACACCTACTCCATTAGCCCAGTTACTGTGTCAGTCCATCTCATACAGGGTCGTCTTTTCCTGCGCTGACCCTCCACCCTTCCAAGTATGATGTCCCTGTCCGAGGACTGACTGGTCCCTCCTTCCTGGCAGCATGCCCAAAGTATGTGAGACGGAGCCTCAAAATCTTTGCCTCCGTCATTAAAATTGACAAACCACTGGCAAATTTTACAAAAGAAAAAGAAAAAACACAGATAACTCAATTAGGAAATGACAGAGGTGACATCACAGCAGAACCAGAGAAAATAATAAGAAAAATTTAAAAGTCTGAGAAAATGAGAACAGAGGTACAAACTGAGATTTGTACAAAAGTGTTTATAGCAGCATTATTCACCTTCACAAGAACATGGAAACAGCCCAAATGTCCAACCACAAACGAATGTATTGAGAAATTATGGTACATTCACACAATGGAAATTACGCAGCATGCAGGAGCAATGATTTTGTAAATTATTACCTAACTTGGGAGAGACTGGAGAGCATCATGCTGAGTGAATGAACTCAGTCCCACAAGGATAAATATTGTATAAAACCATTTTTGCAGAATGAGCGTAAGGATCCAAGAGGGGTGGGAGGAGGTGGAAGCAGAGGGATGAGGATGGGCAGGGGTTGGGAGGGATTAATTATCAGGTTGTACAATTTGATGGGGAGGCTGAGTGAAATTGAAAGATACATTGTTCTTGAAAACAGTGTATTCAAATTTTATAAATAAACTAGTTGTTGTTATGTATCGTTGAGTCGATTGTGACTCAGTAGAAAATTTAAAAAAAAATTTTTTAAAAAAAATCCTTGCCTCCAAAGAGCAACTTGGTTTCACCCTCTCAAGGACAAACCTGTTTGTTCTCTTGGCAGTCCATGGAATGTTCAGTTCTCTTCTCTAGCATCACGACTCAAAAGTCTCACTAGGATCCCATTAGGTGGATCCCTGCGTGGACTCCTGTAGGAGGAGCACTGATGGCACAGTGGTTAAGCTGTTGGGTGCTACCCACAAAGCTAGCAGTTAGAACCCACCAGATGCTCCGAGGAAGAAATATGTAGCAGTCTGCTTCCATAAAGGTTTCGAGCCTTGTAAACCCTGTGAGGTAGTTATTCCCTGTCCTGTGGGGTTGCAGTGAGTCAGAATTGACATGATGGTAGTGGTTAAGTTTGGAGTTCTGGTGTGCTGTGGTTAAGACATGTGTCTACTGAACAAAAAGGTTGGCAGTTTGAATCCACTAGCTCCACCATGTGAGAAAGCTGAGACAATCTGCCCTGGAAAGACCACACCTGGGGAGCCCTATGGGCAGTTAGTTCCATGCTGTCCTTCACTGTGAGCCACAATCACCTTGTTGGCAGTGGGTTTGGATTCCCATAACCAGGCCTCTTTCCTGTATCACAAATAATTTTTTTAATTTAAAAAACTGGCAAAGCCAAGAGAATGAAAAGAGGAGACATATCAAGAACAAACACAAAACAGGTCTTTTTTAAATCCTGTCTAAAAAATCCACTTCCTAAACAACATGCCTCTGGAAACTCTATGAACTTTGATAAATGTCGATAGTTGTAGAGGGGCTTCAGGCCTTTTGTTCATAGGGTCGCTATGAGTCATGCTCTACTCGAAGGCAATCAACAACAACAATAGCGTTACAAATGATACTTCATGAAGTTCTTGAGTTTTATTCATCTCTACTAGTAGCTTTTCTAGTCATTCTGGAACTGGGTGATTGTGGGCATATTTGATGTCACAGGGCCAGGCAGAGGCTGTTGGCAGCTGTGAGGGTCTGTCAGCCAGATGGTAGCTGATCTGCCACTGCTGGGGGAGCAGGCAGTAGTCAGTTGCCTTCACGCTGACATTTTTTTGGGAGGAAGGTTGGTTGTAATCTTTTAACTTTTTAAAAATTTTTAGTCATTAATTGTTGCACATATTCTTTCTTCTCCCTCCCTTCCCATCCCTTGTGCATGTTACATATAGAATGCCTAAGCACGTTTTGCTTTTGGACTTATAGCTACTTTTGACTCACAGAAACTCCATGTGTCAAAGCAGCCACATCGTAGGATTTTTAGGGGCTGATTTTTTTGAAGGTAGAGCTTTCATGTTTCTTCTGAAGTGTCGGCTTTGTGGATTTGGATGCCTTTCAGTTAGAAAATTAGCTAAATTAATGATTTTCACTATCAGGGATGCCAAAAAAGAAAATACTTTTTTCAGAATCCTATCTTGGACTAAGACATTTATATGAAAAACTTCAGTGAGACATTTGTGAGACCTGCATGGGGAAAGCCATGACTTTAGAAGAGCATGTTTGTTCTAGACCCACTAATTATAAATGGTTAAAAAAAAATATCCAGTTTCCTCCAAGGCAGTTATTTTGTAATCATGATTCAATCTTGGTTAAAAAAACCCAGGAGAAAGAGTTTAGCACTGCTGAACTGTTTCCATAATGTTGTAATTTGTGGATTTAAAAACTACTCACAGTTTTGGGTTGTTGTTTTTTTTTTAATGAAAATAAAAGCTTTAGTGTCTCTTTGACTGTGAACAGAGTGGTTAGTTAGAATGTGACATGAACTTTTTCTGTTTCTTCTTGCTAAGTTTGGTTGGTTTTTGATGTCATGGTACTTTTATCATTTAGCATAAGTTCGTTCTAGAATCTTGGCTGGGGAGGATGGTGGTGTGGAGCGTGTGCTGTAAGAGTCAGCTCCCTCTGCACCCACCTCAGAGCTTGGCTTGAACAAACTGTGCTATCAAGGATTAGAACAATCACAAATGCCAGCTGTCCATTCATTGAAAACGCTAACCATTTGCCATGAGTGGATTCCAACTTGTGACCAGTGTAGTGCAGACAGTTAATGGGATTGTCTACTAGCTGGCAAGTTAAAAGTTCAAGTCCACTGAGAGGGTCTTCAGAAAAAAGGCCTGCTGGTCTCCCTCTGAAAAGTCAGCTACTGAAAACCAGCTTTACTGTGCCTCACGTGGAGTCACTATTATATATAATGCTGGGTTGTTGGGAAAGAGAAGGAATAGGTTCTTTGGACTGAAATGTAAATTAGTGCAGGTAAGGGAGGGGTCAGTCAGACGTGTCTTCTCAAACTAAGTGGAAATGGACACTTACCTGTTTATAGATCCACGTGGGTGGTGTAGAAGGATATATGTCCAAATGTGTTCACCACAGCATTGCCTGTTACATAGCAGCCATGTGCAGTAAGACTTCACCAAGCGAACTCCTCTTCCTGGGGCCTCTGGATCCCCTGCTCTTTGCCTGGGGAATTCTACCCCTCAAGGACTTGGCGCTGCAAACAATTTCCAGGTCTCTTTTTCAAATGCCTCATCAACAGGGGGACTCTAGTCCTTAGAGGGTTGTGCTGCTAATCCAATGGTATCTCTCTGGTGGTTCAAATCCACCAGCAGCTCTGGGGGAGGAGATGGACCATTTCCTCTGGTTCTTGTTGACAGCCAAGGAAACTCAAGTGAGAGCCATGATTCAATTCAAACTCACTAGTAATGAGTTCATCAACTGGGGTAGTACCCTGAAATGCCATCTGAACCAGTGCCCTGCCTCCTCTCTCCCACTGCATTGCTCTCTGACATAACACCTCTTTCTGTATGTTTGCCCATCTCCCCCACCGAAGTCCTCAGAGGCTGAGATATGGTTCACTGCTTAGTGGTGGCACCTGGAGCCATGTGTTGGCAGTGCTCGGGCGATGTAGAGTGGATGGGTGCACACCAGGAGTGGTGTGGAGTTTTGTGTTAGCAGTCGTCAGGGTAGGCCCCTGCACCAGGGAGTCCAATGCCGCCCAATCCTGCACCATTCTTACAATCTGGCAAGACCCCTAGAGTTCTAACGAGTTGCATTTTATAAGAAGATAGCCAGACCTTTCTTCTGAATAATGTTTAACTATTGAAAAGAATATAGTTGGCAGGTTTACACTGGTTGGAACAGATATGCTTTGCAACAGAAGCAGAAACCCAACTTGGGGAACCACTGTCTTAGTGACACCGACAGATGCTGGTAGTGGAGGACGTGGGTGTGGAGCCGGCTGACACTGGGACCAGAGAAAGCTGCCTGGGGGAGAGTGAGTGTGTGGGTAGCTCTGAGAGCAGGACCGCTGGCAGCCTGGATTCTTTGCCCCTTTGCTTGTGTGTTATTTATTAACAAAACAAAAATCTTGAATTTTTTTTTCCAAGAAAAAGGTGATTTGGTTTGATTTTTTTCTTTTTTTTAAATTGGTAATAAACCGACACGCATTCCTTCTTCCCCTGTAGCACCTTTCTCAGTTGATCTTGCATCCACTCTGATGGTGAGACTGTGTGTGTCAGAATAGAACTAAGCTCCATAGGGTTTTCAGTGGCCAGTATTTCAAAAATAGATCACTTGGTCTTTTTTTGCCAAGGTGGCTCTGAGTGGGTCTGAGGTGCCAATCTTGGTTAGCATATGAGAGGATTAACTGCACCACCCAAGGGCTTTTCCCCTCAGTAACTGAAGAACCCTCTTCTGTTTTCACAAGACATTGCAGCCCCTAGCACCCTCTGCTGGCTCTATAGTAGCAACGTGTCATGGCTCTTCATAGAAGGTGCCCTAGGAGAGGTTTTAGGATTGGCAGGGACTGGAGGGACTTCTCTGCATCAGCTAAGACAGAGGTTTTATAGGTAATTCAGAAGAGCAATTGACTTTGGAAAGAACTGCTCACTGTTTAAGCACAGACATTATTATTACCAAGTTATTTCTGTATCAAGCACAGAAGTTCTCCCACCATGGTGATGACCAGTCTAAATGCTCAAGAATGCTGGTATGCCCACCATGCACAAGAGTTAGTGACTTGTGCTCTGCCTCGTGGTGGGACCTCTTGGAAACCACCTCAGACTCTTGCTTACTCTGTATTGGTCTGAGTGAGGCTGTAGCTCTTCTAACCTCCTTAAGACTGATTTTTGGAAGGGAAGTCAGTATACAATAGATTAGACATTGTAATTAATGAATGTTGTTGTTGTTTAGTGTCGTCGAGTCGTAGACGACTCATAGCGACCCTATGAATGAACAGCCTGAGCACTGTTCGTACATAGAGTTTCCGGAGGCGAGCTATTTCGGAAGTAAATGCCGCTCCTGCTTCCAGGCTTGTTTTAGTCGGGAAGCTCCAGCCAACACTGTCCACCATGGGTACCTTTTACCATGATTGGCACATCACTGTCACAGTGTTCAGCATCACAGCAACCACGAGTTACCTCTGTACAGCAACGCACAGACCAGTGCTATACCACCTAGAAGAATGTTTGACAGGAAAACTATTTGAACTTGGCCGAAGGCCGCAGATGAAAATCACCCACCTTTGGCTTGGTAGCATAACTTCCTTTCCACTAGGCCAACGTCGCTCTCTGTCGTCGTTGTTGTTATTTTTCTTTAAAAACTCACCTTGTTGCTGTCAGAATCAACTCATAGCTGATCTGCCGGGGGCGGGGCGGTGGGGGTTTGGAGGCTGTCAGTCAGCTGAGAGGAGATTGCCCATCTTCCTCCCGAGGAGACGCTGAGACCTTCAAACCTGCACCATGAGAAGTGTAACTCCCTACAGACTACCCCACCAGAACTCCCTTCATATTAGTCAGTTATAGTAACGTTATAAAAGAAAATGTATTTGAAGGAGAAACCAGTAAGATTTGTAAAGTTTCTCTCAAATAAATAGGGGGAAAGATGGTTTGTCAGTTTAAACTAAAGGTAGATTGCCCATCAATATGAAACCACTAAACCCACATGAGTTCTCAGCATCTGTAGGGTCCATGCTGATCCCAGTGAGCCTGTGTGTGTCAGAGAAGAGCTGGGCTCCACGGGGTCGTAAGAGGCTGATTTTTTTCAGCAGTGGATCACCAGGTCTTTCTTCCAAGGGACCTCTGGGTTGGCTCATATCGCCAAACTTTTTTTTCGTAGTTAGAGGCTTGACTATTTGCACTGCCCAGGGACACCACTTAAACTACAGAAGGACTTATGACAAATGGTCTTATTTTAAATGATAACTGTTATTTCTATTATCAAGATCCAACTTCTTCATGTTTGTGTTTTGACTTAAGAGACAATTTGATTTGGCACAACATAAAGTTTTTATTTAGTCTGCTGACAGCTGTTACCTTTGTGCACACACATCTGGGAGGAGCGTGTTTGTATCCCTCTGTCATTCAACAGTAGGATCCATTGGCTTCCCAGGGTCTCATTGTGGTGGAATTGGGAATCTGTTCTGGAGATGAGCCCCGCTCACCCTTGCTTTTTCTCTTCACCCGCCCCAAGTTTCCTGATAACTCTGTGCCAGAGCCAACGAGCTGGGCACAATTTGTGGGTGCTGAGTTGGGTGTTCTGGGGTCATATGACTTCAGGTGTACCAGAGTCAGGCACCCCGGGGTCGGGCATCCTGGGGTCAGATGTGGAGGATTCCTCCACAGTGGAGACCAGCTCACACTTTGCCCTTCTCCTGTCCCGAAGGCATGAAGACCAAGCATGCCCTGCGCCACCACATGAAGCTGCACAAGGGCATCAAGGAGTATGAGTGCAAGGAGTGCCACCGCAAGTTCGCCCAGAAGGTCAACATGTTGAAGCACTACAAGCGGCACACGGGTGAGTGCTGGGGTGGCCCAGCCACCGAGTGAGTGGGGCTGCCAGGGGCTCTTCTCTAAGTTTTCTCTGGGAAATGGAAGCAAACAGGTGGTGTAGGGAAGCCAGGACCATAAAGAGAATCACATCTCTGCTCTTCATTTTAATGAAACAGCTGTCCTTCGGCCTCTGAGATCTAGGGCTCCATGACACAGGAGGCACCTCCGAGCTTCCCTCCAGATGTGACCACAGGGGAGATAGTAAGACACTGCTTATATCCAGTTCCATCAGTTCTTGTGGCCTTATTTTTTGCCAGTGCCTTCAAGGCAACTTGAGCGTCTTCCTTCGTCACTACTGATTCTTGGTCCTATGCTATTTCCTGAAATTCTTCTATGTCAGCCAATTCTTTTTGGTACAGTGGCTCTGTACATTCCTTCCATCTTCTTTTGATTCTTCCTGGTCATTCAAGATTTTGCCCACAGTTGCAGCTCAAGGCTTATGTGTGTTCTTCAGTTCTTTCAGCTTGAGAAACGCTGAACGAGTTCTTCCCTTTTTATTTTTTTTACTCTAGCTCATTGCATATAAGGTGTTCAACAATTTCCGTGTGTATGTTTCAGTGGTATCACTTGCATTCTTCTATTGGGCAACCATCCTCACCCTCCTTTTCCAAGCTCTTCCAGGTCAGTGCACTCTCTCCCCATGGTTCCTATCTAATCTCTAGAGTGGCTGCTATCAGTGTAATCCCGGTGACTAACAGACTAACATCCAGTTTCTAGGAGTTAATCTCACATTACCACCCCCCAAACACTTCCCGGGCTTATCAGGCCCACCACATTGTTAGCGTGACTACTCAGATACCTGCATAACATGAAGGGCCTTATCCTCCATAGGCTCATTTATCTCTACAGGGCTGGAATCCTAATAATTTCTATTGTATGATAAGCATTCACCTCTTAAAGGGAAGTCGAGAGGCTAAAACAACTAACTACAAATACTGAATGAGTTAACGGCTGGTGTTTTATTATAATACTTTGCTTTGTCTTCTTGAGCTGCCCTTTGAAATCTTCTCTCTGCTCTTTTATTTTGGTGTTTCTTCCATTTGTTTAGGCTTCTCGTCATTCCAGTGCAATTGTCAGAGTCTCTTCTAACATCCATTTTGTTCTCTTTCTCTCCTGTCTTCATAATGATTATTTGCTTCCTTCATGCATGATATCCTTGATGTCATCCCATATCTCTCTGGTCTTCAGTCATTAGTGTTCAATGTCTCAAACCTATTCTTAAGATGGTTTTAAAATTCAGATGGGATAGATGTTTGTATTTTGCCTAAGATTAAAGACTGCAGCATGCCTTTTCTATCTATTTGCTATATAGATCATTTGAGAGGTTGGACTTTACGAAAAAGAATGTGCATGAAGATTGGAGGAGAACTCATCAACAGTCTGTCTTATGCAGATGACACAACCTTGATTGCTGAAACTGAGGAGAGCTTGAACAATTTGCTGCAGAAAATTAAAGATTACAGCCTTCAATATGGTTTATATCTCAACATCAAGAAAACAAATATCCCCCTCACTACTGGGCCAATAGACAGTTTCATGATAGATGGAGAAGAGATTGAAATAGTTAATGATTTTATCTTGTTTGGATCCAGAATCAACACCCTTAGCACCAGCAGTCAGAAAATCAGAAGACACCTTGCACTGGGAAAATCTGCTGTCAATGACCTCTTCAGAATGCAAAGAACATTGATGTTGGTCTCAAGACTAAAGTGTACCTGATATAGGTCATGATCTTTGCAATTACTTGCTGTGCTTCAGAGAGCTGAATAATGACCAAGGAGGACAGAAGAAGAATCAATGCCTTTGCGTTATGGAGCTGGAGAAGAGTATTAAACATACTGTGAACTTCCAGGGAAACAAACAGATCTGTCCTGGATAGGGTGAAACCAGGTTGGCTCCTTGAAGGTGAGGATTTTGAAACTCCATCTCACATACTTTTGGGGACATGACCAGGAGGGAGGGACCAATCCAATCCTTGGAGAAGGACATCATGCTTGGGAGGGTGGAGGGTCAGCACCTGAGAGGAAGACCCTGGATGAGATAGATTGACTGTGACAGTCGAGTGAGGTGTGTTAAAGATGGTGAGGTTGGCTTAGGATAGGGCAGGGTTCAGAAGTGTTATTTCATAGGGTTGCTAGGAGTTGTAGTCAGCTCAACAGCACATGACTTCAGAATGGATTAACATCTAAACATCAAGAAAATGAAAATTCTCACTCCTGAGCCGGTAGGCAACATCATAATAGATGGAGAAAAGATTGAAGTTGTCAACAATTTCTGATTGCTTGTATCCACAATCAACACCCTGGTACCAGAAGTCAGGAAGTCAAAAGCGATACCACGATAGGACCACCTGCTGTTGGGGACCTTTCCAGAGTTCTGAAGAAGACTGTCTGTTAAAGGTAAGGTGCACCTGATCCACGTCATGCCATTCTCATTACTTACTGTGCGTCTGAAAGTTGGACAATTAAGGATGACAGAAGAAGAATCTGTGCTTTGAGTTGTGTTGGAGAAGAGCACTGAATATCCCTTATACTGCCAAAAGAGTGAATAAGAGTGTCCTGGAGAATGTGCAACCAGGTTGCTCCTTGCAAACAAGGATGATGAACTTTGGGCATGTTGTGAGGGGGGTCCAGTTCTTGGAAAAGGACATCATGGTTCGAAAGTTGGAGGGTCGGTGTCGGAGAGGAAGACCATCAACAAGATGAAATGACACAATGACTGCAACAGTGGACTCAGATATCAGAGATCACAGAACAGAGCCAGGTTTCAATCTGTTGTTCATACAGTCACGAGGAGTCATGGTTGACTTGATGGCATATAACAACAACATTGACAGTATCCATTTAGGGAGCTCTGCTAACCCAAAGGTTGCACCTCTTTAGTAGTTCAAATCTATCCACAGCTCCAAAGGGGGAAAGTGGGCATTCTTCTCCCGTGTGATTTATAACTTCCAAAACCCTCTGGAGGGTATGGTAGAGTTAGTTCCTACTTGCTGGCAATTAGGGAAAGAATATTCATTTGTTAAAGCTGACTCTCTGGAGACTAATTCCTGGTTGAACTCCTGTCACCTTCACAGGCAAAAGTCACTTTGAATCACTAAAGTGCATGTGTATATTTATTCATCTTCTAAATGTAAGTGTATTATGTAACCAAAGAAGTTTGTTTACCTCTTATGCTTAGCATGTTTACTCTCTCTATATCTGGCTTTAATGTTTGATGATTATTTTAACCTTGTCATAAGTCTCATATAAGCTACCTGGAATATTTAGCGGTATAAAGGAGGTTCAGATAAACAATCACTTTGTAAAAAAAAAGTAAGTTCTTTCCTACTTACATGTTTTCAGACAAGATTTCCTGTAATTACAGTTTTCTGGTTGTAAGATTTTACCATGTTGTTGTTAGGTGCTGTTGAGTCGAGTATGACCCATAGCAACCCTTTGAACAACAGATCTGAGCCGTGTTCAATTCTGCACCATCCTCACACCTCCTGTCACACTAGAGCCCATTGAGGCAGTCATTGTGTCCCTCCACCTGATTGAGGGTCTTCCTCTCCTTTGCCGAACCTCTGCCTTTCAAGCATGATGTCTCTCTCCAATGAAGAGCCTTTCCTAGCAACATGCCCAAAGTATAGGAGGCAAAGCTTTATCATCATTGTCCAGCTCTCAGATATATAGTTATTGGAAAGACCATGGCCTGAATCAGTGCACCGTAGCCCTCAAATTGACATTATAGCTCCTCAATAATTTGGACAAGTCCCTCACTGCAGTCTTTCCCAGTGCAGTATGTCTCCTGATTTCCTGGCTGCTGATACCAAGCTGTTGCTTGTGGATCCAAATAAGATGAAGTTATTAACAATTTCAGTCTTTTCTCCATCTATCATGATGTTGCCTGTTGGTGCAGTGATAAGAATTTTTGTTTTCTTGGCCTTGAGATGCAATCCATAGTGAAGGCTGTAATCTTTGATCTTCTGCAACAAGTGCTTCAAGTCCTCCTCACTTTTTTAGGAAACAAGGCTGTGTCATCTGCATAACTAAGATTATTGATGTGTCTTTCTTTGCTCTTGATGCCACATTCTTTTTCAGAGTCCACCTTCTCTAATAATTTACTTAGTGTATAGATTGAATAGGTACATAGAATACGACCCTGGACCACTTCTTAGTTTTAAACCATATAGTATTCCCTTGCTAGAAGGATAGATAGAGATAGAGATATAGATTTTTTTCTTTTTTAAACCACAGTTTTCTTGTTGCGTTTGGAAATGTCTGTTGTCTTCTGCCCACTTACCTCCTGTCAGAAATTTCTTGTTTTCGGTGTCATTTAATCAGTCCCAACTCATAGCAGCCCTGCACAGCAGAATAAAATGCTTCTTGGTCCTTTACTGTCCTCATACTGGTGTCACCACTGTTTCAGTCCGTCTTGTTGAGGGTCTTCTCTTTTGCTGACCCTCTACTATACCAAGCATGATGTCCTACAGAGTTTGGCCCCTCCTGATAACATGTCTGAGGTGCATGAGACAACCATCCTCACCTCCAGGGGACATTCTGGCTGGACTTTTTTGTTCAGTCTTTGTTCAGTCTTCAGGCTCTCTATGGTATATTCAATATTCTTTACCAACACACTGAGTCAAATGCATCGACTCTTTTTTTTGTCTCCTTTATTCATTGTGTGGCTTTTGCATGCATATGAAATGATTGAGAATACCATGGCTTGGATTAGGTACATCTTTGTCTTCAAACTGACATGCTGGAAGCTGTGCCACGAGCATTTCGGATACAAGCAGGTGGACAAGTTTCAGTGGAGCTTTCAGACTAAGACAGAACTGGCCAAAGTCTTACAAACACTAAAATGCGTCAGTGATCGTCTGTGGTGGGTCAGGGGTAGATTCTTCCCTTCAGGGAGGTCCGAGTCCAGTTCCCAGCCATGCGGATTTCATGTACAGCCGGCACCCACCTGACAGTGGAGGCTTGCGTGTGGCTGTGATATTGAATAGGCTTCAGCAGAGCTTCCAGACACGCAGTAGGAAGAAAAGCCCAACAGTGTGCCTGAGGAGATATCTGTGGATCGCAGTAGTTCATTCTCACTGGGCATGGGGTTGCCAGGAGTTGGGCCCAATACAGTGGCATCTGACAGCAACCGTAATGCTTAGCTAGATGAGACACCTGCTCAGCCCATGAAGTTAATGTGTCTTGCCCTGCAGGGATTAAAGATTTCATGTGTGAATTGTGCGGGAAGACGTTTAGCGAGAGGAACACGATGGAGACTCACAAGCTCATTCACACAGGTAGGCTGGGCGCAGCCTGGAGGAACGTCTGGGCCCACGTGATGGTAGGGATGGACGTGACTGGCTGTCATTACTGTATAATGTAGACTTTTTCAGGATCTTCAGGGTACCCTTGGCTTAGTGGTGGCTTCTCCCCTTCATTTCACACTTCCAAGTGGGCATCCTTGAATTTGCAATGACGTAGCTGATCTTAAAAGTTATTCGTGTGAGATGAAGGTCATCTTGTGCAAATTCGACGCAGGCATCCTTCTTGTCTGAGCAGGCCAGGGTCATAAATCCTGGACCATGGACAGTGGTTGGTGAGTGGTCGAGGGCTTTGTTCATGACTCGCTCTGTCCCGTTTCTGTGTGGTCAGTGGGCAAGCAGTGGACATGCTCGGTGTGCGACAAGAAGTACGTCACCGAGTACATGCTGCAGAAGCACGTCCAGCTCACCCACGACAAGGTGGAGGCACAGAGCTGCCAGCTGTGTGGGACCAAGGTGTCCACCAGGGCGTCCATGAGCAGACACATGCGGCGCAAGCACCCTGAGGTGAGTCCATGGGGTGCCTGGAGCCTCCTGCACTCCGGGGGTGGGAGGCAGAGTTCTGAACCTCCTCACAGAACATTCTGAGGCAGTCGTCGTCCTCTGTCACCACTGCTTTGGGTGTACGCTGCTCAGAGACACTCATGCCGGGTCACATTCTAGCCATTCCAGAGCTCCACAGGTCTGTGTGTTGTTACCTACCCCTATAACAGCGGGCTCAAGGATATGAGAGATGATGTGGGTGACACAGGGTAGGACAGAGCTCACAAGGATGCCGTAAGGCCTGGTCAACCAGACATCAACAACAATGAATTCCTGAGCCCACCACTAGGGGGCACTGTTTGTATGAGTAGAATAGAAGACACTCAAAACTTTTTTTTTTTTTGCTATTGTTAATAGGCTCTCACGTGAAGGGGGGGAGGAAGAATGAATACAAATTTTTAAAAAGAAAATTTTGCTCTTACTAGATTCACTGTAGGGATCTCTGGTGGTCTACTGGATAAGGAGTGGTGCTGCCAGCCCAAATGGAAAAATTCACCATCAACCCCAAGGGAGAAAGATGGGCCATCTCCTCCTGTGCAGCTTATAACCTCTCAGAAGCCACGAGAGGGTCATCTATAAGTCAGTGCTGACTCAACGGCAATGAGCTTGAGTTTTAAGAGACACCGTGGGGTCTTTGGTGGCATAGTGCATAGAATGTTATGCTTCTAACCAAAAATTTGACAGGTTGATGGGTCATCTCCTTCTATTAAGATTTACAGCCTCAAACCTAGTGGAGGGTCACTATGACTCAATCCATACAAGGGCAGTGGTAAGACAGGTGAACGTGTGGCCATACTCCCCACTCTTCACTTTGAAGTAACTGATAAAATGTGCAAATGGGATGCCACTACTTATCAAGGAAGCATTGAGTAAATCTGGGCATTGAGTACTGAGAGTATTAAATGATGCAGGAGACAAGGAGAGAGCGAGACATGGTGCAGGGAGTGGAGAGAGAGAGTGGGACTTGGTGCAGGAAGCCAAGAGAGTGGGACATGGTACAGGAAGCCAGGGAAGAGAGTGGGACATGGTATAGGAAGCCAGGAGAGAGTGGTACATGGTACAGAAAGCGAGAATAGAGTGGGAAATGGTACAGAAATCCACGAGAGACTGGGACATGGAACAGGAAGTGAGTAGAGAGCAGGACATGGTACAGGAAGTGGAGAGAGAGTGGCACGTGGTGCTGGAAGTGGGGGGAGAGTGGGACATGGTGCAGAAAGCCTGGAGAGAGTGGGACAGGGCGCAGGAAGTGAGGAGAGAGTGTGACAAGGTGCAGGAAGCAAAGAGAGCCCAGCATGACCAAAACCAATTCCAGGAGAAGGGTAGTTCAGTGTGCTTTAAAAAGAAGCCAGCTGAAAAACAGAACTGGAAGACAGTGTCACTAAATCACTGCACAGTGATTGCAAAGGAGAGGCTTTCTAAACTAATAAAAGTAATGAAATTAATCAATAACAAAAATTTCAGAGCATCTGACTACATAAGCATTTAGAACTTCTGTTAGGTTAAAAACAAAACATACCCCAAAACCAAAGGACACACAGATATATGCAAGATACTGTCCTCTAAAAAGTGTAAACTTGTCATGGAGTTGGAACCAATTTACAGCTAACCCTCAAGTGTGTTATCTGAGGCTGTAAATCTCATGAGAGGAGACTTCCTATCTGTCTCCTGTGGAGCCACTGGTGTATTTGAACTGCCAGAAAGGTGCAGCCTTTGGGTCAGCAGTACAGATCCCAGTGGACGACAACAAACAATTCATATTAACAGATTATACTGTTCAGTGAATGAGGCATCGAGTCTACAGAGAGAGATTTCACAAAAAAGAAAATATGAACAGCTTGTAAGCTGAAAAAAGCCTTTATCCTTTTATGAGTCACAAAAATACAAATGTTAAATACACCAATATTGTCCTCTCCCCATTGAATCGGCAGAGCTTTTTAGATTTAAAATGATCATGCAGGCTGGCTGGACGAGGGCAGGCCACTGCTAAGGTCTGGTGTTTTTCTGGGGGAATTAATGTTTTGCTAGTGGTTATTTAGATCCATCAGTGTCCATTAACATAACTAATGATAATTTAGTCATGTGCTTGAGTATATAAATATACTTATAGAAATAGACATAGTATTGGATATATACCCTCCCTTACAAACATAGTAGGTGGAAAAAAAGAAAACATTGTACAGTAGCTTCCTGCTGGTATTAAAGTTTTGAGTAATTTATTTCTTCATATTTTTCTCAGCTTTCTAACATTTCCTTCCATGTACATGAATTGCTTTTGCTATTGAAAAAGCAGGGAGCTCTGGGGCCTTAATGGTAAGGAGTTGCGCTCTGCCGCAAAGGCATATGGTTTGAATCTACCAGCAACTTCGCAAAAGAAAGATGGGCAGTCTCCTCCATGTGACTCACTGCTCTGAAAACCTACTGGGGAGTTAGTTGTGAGTTGATTCCAACTCTATAGTACATGACAAACAAAGTATTAAAAAACCAGAGTCTGCTTCAAGCATGAATCCAGTGGCTCCGGGTCTTGGACATCATCAGTGCACTTGGCATTTTCATTCTGCACATCACCAAGTTTGTTCTTCCCGGGGGCCTTTCTGCTCCCACTTTGGATGGTTCAGGAGCTACCTGGATTCCCCAATCCTCCCTCCCAGGAACCAGCCTGCATGCATGCGTCCACTTACCTCTCACACCACACCTGGGGCTTTCAGCTTCCATTTTCACATTAGCAGCTAGCTAGTGTCTTCATTTACTAAAGCTTCAGCAACAAAATACCACAAAGCAGGTGGCTTCTGAGAAGAGCAGCTGTTTTTACAGTTCTAGGGGCTGGAAGTCAGAAGTCAAGGTGTTAGGAGGGCATGCTCTCTGTCTGCTGTAGAGGATTCTCCCTTGTCTCAGCACATTTCCTTGATTTATAGATGTATGTGACTGTTTCTGTATCTGTCCTTCCCCCCCCTTACATTGTGTTTCACACTCTTCTTCATTCACATTGTGTTTCATAAAATTATTCCCATTATGTTTTATAAAATTAATCACCATTGCACTATATGCACCATTACCCTGTTTTTTCAGGTCCCTACTGGCTCTTTCCCATTTCCTTTAACCCCTCCTTCCACCCACCAAATTGTGCAACCCTGTAATTTCACCCCTACCCATCCTCACCCCTCTGCTTCCACCCCTTCTTCCCTGGATCCTCATATGTGTTTTAATAGTTATCCTTTTATTTTTACAATAATGGTCTTATGCAGTATTTGTTCTTAGAAGACCGAATTAGTTCACGTAGCATAATACTCTCCAGTCTCTCCAAAGTTATGTAATATTTTCCAAGATCATTGCTCCTCCATGCTGCATAGTATTCCATTGTGTGAATTTGCATAATTTCTCAATCCATTTGGTTGAGGTTGAACATTTAGGCTGTTTCCATGTTCTTGTGATGATGACTAATGCTGCTATGAACACTGGTGTACAAATCTCCACTTGCGTCTCAACTTTAATGTCTTTGGAGTACCTTCCTAGAGTGGAATAGCTGGGTCACAGGAGTTTCTATGTCCTTTTCATTTATAAAACTCCACTCTGAAGAGATTAGGATTAGGACCCACTTTACTCCGTATGGTATCATCTGAGGCCATGGGAGGATGGGCATTCTCCTCCCGCATGTTAACTGCCTCTGAAAACCCGCCACAGGGTCAGCTGTGGGTCAGTTCTGACTCAGCGGTATACACGACAACAATATATTAAGAAAGACAAACTCATATTTAACTGTATGTGGGTTAGGACCTGCCACAAGACTTCTAGGAGGACCCAGTTCATTCTTTAACAGCTATTGTTTGTTAGGAAAGCAGGAGAGTGACATGTAGGGATCTGCTGGGGTCCCCACTGTCAGTCGAAGAACATTTTCATCTAATGTCAGGGTCCAGGGCAGGCTCTAAAAACTCTGGGGGCTAGGAAGGTACCTCTGTGGAGCCTGGGATGTGGACGGCTTCTCCACATCACTGTGGTCATGGTGTTGATAGTTGCTGTAGAGTTAGCTCTGACTCAGTCTCAGACACCACAGAGCAAGACACTGCTCTGTCCCGTACAATTCTCACAATTGCTGTTATCTTAAAATACATCATTCCAGGCACTGTGCATTTTGAGTACCACCTACGCTTATGGGACTGTCTGCCAGTACTGTGTTGTATAGGGTTCTGTTGTGGGTTTTCACTGACTGATTTTCAAAAATAGATTGCCAGGCCTTTCTTCCTAGTTTAGAAACTCCACTGAAACCTGTCAACAGTGGGTCCGGGCTGATATTGTGAATTACTGTGGCATCACTTCCCGCAACACGCATGCCAGAACAGCACAGCAAACTAACTGTTGGTGGGTTTATGTAGTTAGGTGTTTTAATAAGGAGTATAACTTGAGTTTTATGTGTTGGATGTTTGATAAACTTTGTTATAAAAAAAGTCTACAGCAAAAGCTTTTAGCCAATAGAGTCCTCTTCCTAATTGATCACTGCAGATTTAGATGTTGGTGCTCTGCTTCTTCCTCTTTTATTTTAAACAAACCAGTTTTATAAAAATTTTATTTAAAAAATATGAAGTGGGATGTTTAAACAAAAATATCTTAGGCAATAATGAGCAGACACACACTGGTATCAGCCATTTTGCATCATATGGCCTACAAAGCCAGGAACAAAACCTGACTTGGCAGTCTCAGCAGTCAAAAGTATAAATTCCCAGTTACATTTTAGTTCTCCCCCCCGCCCCCCACCGAGTGTGAATCATTTTAGTTTGGGGATATATTTTTCCATTTAAAAAAAATCACCACGAACTTTATTGTATTTTTTATGAAAGTTTACCCAGTGAATTAGGTTCCCACTTAGCACATTTTACACAATTGTTCCATGGCATTGGTTGCAATTTTCACAAATTATCTGTTAAACTTCTCATTACTTCTACTCTGCTGGTTCTTTTTCCACTGATCTAGCTTCTCTTCCCCTCTTTGCTTTTTTTTTAAATTGAAATTTAAACAAAAGCTTACCAAGAACTTGTATTTCCATTCATTCATTTTGTGTATTTTTCTCCCCACCTACTCCCCAGTTTGCTTTTCTTTTTAAAAATTCTTTAATTGTTGCACAATTTCCTCCCCAGTCCACTTTGCTGTGCAGCTCTTATTCTGGACTCTTGTCATGCAAATAATACCTAGTCATATATTCCTTTTAAACAGTTCTGTTCCTCATCTCTTTCAATGCAGTGTAAATTATTTATCCCCTCTTTTATTAGTTTCCCCCAAATCCCTGTCAGTCCCGTTTTATAACAGTGGCATTATGTAGTATTTGTCCTTTTGTGACTGAGATATTTCACTCAGCATAATGTCGTCAACAGTCAACTATTTTGTATAATATTTTGTGAGTTCCCTGTTTTTCAGTGCTGTGTAGTATTCCATTGTGTAAATATAGATGCTCTGCTTCTTAAATGGGATATATTCTCTTATTCATTCTTCTCAATTCAAACAAACCAATGAAGGGTAAGGATAGTACCACTGTATATCACTATTTTTTGTTCTTTTGTTCTTGATTCATTTTTTTCTCCCATTTGTAGACCTATTGTTTAGGGGAGCCATTCAATTCTATATTAAAACTCAACTCATTGCTGTTGGGTTGAAAGCAACTCATAGGTGAGTCTAGTGGTTTTTAAAGGCTGTAAATTGCACAGGAGTTGTTCATCTTTCAATATTAGAGTAGTTGGTGGATTAAAGCCGCTTGCATTTGGTTTGGCATACCCACTAAGGCACCAGAGCTTCTGTATTAATGCAAACTCTAATCATTTAGGCACCTGTCAGTGGGGTAGGCTCTCGCCACTCAGAAGGGCGCAGTTCAGGCAGCCACCATCTCTGCCCTGCCGGCCTTCAGAGTTGGAGTAAGACAGAAGGAAAAACAGGAATTAGATAAGGGGATGAGAAATGTTGATGTGGAGGCAACTCAGGCTGCAAAGAGCAGGGGCCATGAGGAGAGAGGCCTGGATTTCCTTGCTGTTGGAGTGCCCTTGTGGTTACATGTTGGAAGCAAGCACTGTTGTTTTGGGGGGGATGGGACCAAACTATCCTAGCCCCTAAATACTAAATGCAGACTCAGGCTGGTTTCTTTCATTTGAAACATATTTGTAATTCAACATAAACTGTTTTTAAAATTGATGCCATTTTTTGAACTGTAAGGAATGCCCTTCTCTTTGTTTTGAATGAAAGTTCCACTGAAAAAAAAATTTAAATACACAAAACACTTTTCACTTATGGTCTTCCCTTCCCTGCACTGCTGTCAAGTTAGAGCCAACCCACAGCTGATCCTCCAGCATGATTTTGGAGGCTGTGTCTCTCAAGGGAGGAGATTGTCCATCTTTCCCCCACAGGGCTGCTGCTGGTGGATACGAGCTGCCAGAGAGGCTTGGCCTTTGGGTTAGCAGGGCAGTTAGACTAGGCCACCAGAGCTCCTATCTCTTATGAGACAACGTAAGAAGAGTAGAGCAGATGTTTCTGTGCTCTTTCTTCTGGGTCATCAGATTCTGCACTGTGTCTTGAGCACTGATGAAGGGATTGTTGATGACAGTGGTGATGCTGATGACGCCAGTGCTGGTGGTAGTGATGACAGTAGGATGATGGTATTGATAAGTGTAATAGCGATGGCAGTGGTTGTGATGATGGTGACAGTGGTGATGGTGGTGGTGACAATGGTATTGATAACTGCAGTCGTGGTAACAGTAGTGATGACAGTGGTGTTGGTAAGTGTAATTAGTGGTGGCTGTGGTGGTGGTGGTAGTGACATTGGTGGCGGTGGTGAGAACAGTGGTGCTGTAATAGCGGTGGCAGTGGTGGTGTTGGTGGTGGTGACAGTAGTATGAGTGGTGACGGTGGTGATGACAGTGGTGTTGATAACTAATAGTGGTGGTGACGTTGATGGTGCTGACAGTGGTATCAGTGGTGATGATATGGTGGTGAGGTAGTGGTGGTCGTGATTGTAGTGGTGGTCGTGATTGTGGTGGTGGCAGCAGTGGTGACAAAGGCGGTATGATAATGGTGATGCCTTTGGTGATGATGGTGAGTACAGTGATATGACGATAGTGGTGACGTTAGTGACCAGTGATGATGACATATGATGTTGGTGACTGCTCATAGTGGCAGTGCAGTGGTGACAGGGAGAGTGGTGATGATGGTGGTGACGGTAGTTACAGTCATGGTGGTGGTGGTGGTGACGCTGGTGACAGTGGTCTTAGCCAGTGATGAGAACTCGGCTATCTCAAGAACAAGAAGAGCCGGTGTAAGCCGTCGGTGAGCTGTCGTTGACTCTTGATTAAACTAGCTCTGAGCAGGTGGGAGGTGCCGTGTGGGCCAAGTGAAGGGAGGAGGTTGGTCCTGTGAGTCACAGCTATGAGCCAAGGACAGCACTCAGTGGCTTCCTGGGGAAGGTGCAGTGGGGGGGGGGATGAGAATTATTTTTTCACAAAATAGGCAGAAGAGAGTGCCTGTATGTGTGTTAAGCTGAAATGAAAGTTGTTTCAAGGTAGGGATGTCTCATTTTTGTGAGATTTTAACTGGGATTCTTACTGTGAGTAGGACCTTAGAACGTGTTTACTGGACTGTATATTACTCTGCTGTGTTACTGGTTTGGAGTTCACTTACTGAAAGCACATCAGTGTGGGCCAGGCAAAGTGAGGCAGCATAGAAGAGATACAAGGACAGGTGCCCAAGAACGCCTACTGTGTGTAAGAGGCTTGTAGACATTTAAAGTAAAGGGGATAATGGGACTGGGACTGGGGAAGGGCAGCCTGAACAGGCTGTCGGTAGCCAGTCCCCGACCCTCCTGCAGAGGGGTGGAATGTCAGGAGCGGGCCCACCGAGGGGAGTAATGAGAATCCTTGGTTGGCCCTGTCTGGGCTGCAGGTGGCCCACCTTGTGACATGTCTGGTTCTTGCCAGTGGCCAGTACAGATGGCCATCAGGCATAGCTGTCCCCAGGCTCACTGCCCTGTGCTTGCCTGCAGGTTCTCGCTGTGCGGATCGACGACCTGGACCACCTCCCTGAGACGACGACCATCGACGCCTCCTCCATCGGCATTGTGCAGGTGAGTGCCCACCTGGAGCCTGCGGGCCGTGGGCCAGGAGAGCACACCCTGGGGGCATGCTGCCAAGGGGAGCAGTGAGTGGACAGCTGGTGCCGTGGGCCTCGCTGTCTGGCCTCACTTCCTGCTTTCCTGGTTCATCTTCCCCCCAGGAAACATTTAAAATATCCTTCCATTTCTGTAAAGCTTCTAGTAATTTGATTTTCCAAATGTGGATGTACTGCACTTTAGAAAACAGGCAGCTTCTGGAAAAGCCATCTGTTGTTGCCGTTGTGTGCCATCAAGTTGGAACCGGCTCGTAACTGACCCTCCTGTGGTTTTTCAGTGGCAGTAAACTGCACAGAAGGAGATTGCCCATCTGTCTCCCTCAGAGCAACTGCTGGATTGAAACCATGTGCCTCGACTTGTAACATGTGCCTCAACTTGAAATCTTGTGTCTCGACTTGTAATCATGTGCCTCAACTTGAAATCTTGTGTCTCGAGGTTGGCAGCACAACCGTTACCGCTCAGCTACCAGGGCTCCCTCCAGAAGAACTTAGCATCATTAACTTGTTGTAAAATGAATATATTTAACGTGGTAGGTGGACTCATTGGAGACATGCTCAGTCCATACCTCTGGGAAGAGATTTTAATATGAAGGGAATATATCTTTACCTGTTAAACGATGATATATACACAGGAGCTCTGGTGGCATAGTGGGTAAGGAGTTGCACTGCCATCCCGAAGGCAGGTGGCTCAAATCTACCAGCTTGCTCTGAGGGAGGAAGATGGAGAGTCTCCTCTATGTGATTTATAGCCTCTGAAAACCTGCTGGAGGGGAAGCTATGTGTCAGTGACAAATGCAATGCGGATTTTTTGTAGTGTTTTTTTTTTTCAATTATAAAGTTTTTCATATAAAGGCATCACCAAGCTCTGACAATGATTAAAAATTCCATTTACAAATGTTTTTTTGAAGTGTGCTTTAGTGCATGGTATTCTTGGGCATGGGTCATGCTGCGTGTGCCTGAGAGTGGTACTGAGGTCTTTGGATACCCCACAATAGACTCCCACCCTGTATCCAGACCCCACAAGCCATCTGTCCTGTTGGCAAGTTTTAGGAGGAGAACTGAAGAGAGGATTCAGGAGACCTGTGCCCTGGCGGGTACCATTGCACCTGTCTTCCACTGTGCAGGGGACCAGGGAGGAGGGCCTCCCAGCCATTGCCCACACTTGCACAAATGAACACCTTTCTGAAGACTCACCTCTAGGTACTAGGCTTGGGCAGGGCAGCCATGCTAGACAGCACATCCTTGAGGCTCAACAGAAAGTAGGGGTCATGATGCCAGCTTCGTGGGAGTGGGGACACGATGGCCAAGAAAATCCCCCCCAGGGCTGTAATTACAACTCAGTGCTAGTTTGCCATGCCAAAGGAGCAGACTGGGCAATTCTTGTGATCAAATGCATCTGAGTCACTTTGTCCTTAAAATAAATTTGTTTCTGCCAGGGTTATGAGAATGCAAATTTGAAAATCTTGGGATTGTTCTCCACTGGAGCTGACATATTTTATTTTATATTAAAAATAAGTTTTTACAATAAGAAAAACATATTTGTATGCACACATGATTTTTATAATTGTGATTGAAACTTTATAAAGCATATTGCTTTTTCATTCAATCGTTAGTACAGATTTTATTTTCAAATATTAATTACAGTATCTATAATGTCTGATCATCCATTTATTATATATTGCCCTTTCCTTTACCCATCTTAATAATCCTTTGGGTTGCAGGGCTGTAACCCTTCAGAAGCAAACCTCCAGATATTCCTTTTAATACAGCCTGGGTGAACTCAAACCTTCAACCTTACATTTCCTTTTAAAAAGACTTCAGGGAATATTTTCAACTATGTGTTAAATTTTTTTTTTCCAGGGAAGTAGTTTCAAGGATTCATCCAACTTCAATTGAGTGGAAGTTTTTTGGTTGCTTTTTTTTTTTTTTAAGAAAGACTGAGTTTTATGAGAATTTGAGGTTTTACTCTGTATTTTCACAACTTTTGATCTAGATTATTCTATAAAAATTTGATCAGGGTATTCCATAATGATTGGCAGGCACTATACAGTTTTTTGTGGTGTTTTTTTTTTTTGTCTCATGAAGGCAATTTGAGATTTACACTTGCCCGCATTCCTCATTCTATCCATTTTATTTCATTTCCTCCAATTCCTGATTGTCCTTCTTCCATTATTGTTCAATTGGAGAATAGAAAACCGTTATAACTCGAATGGCTAGTTACAGGTTTATATGACCCCATCATTAGGTAGTGAACGTAAGAGGTAAAGGAGAAGTGTTAAGTGTGATATTAGGCCAGTGAACAGGGATCTCCCCTGAAACCATGACCCTAAATTTCCTACTCAAGGCCAGTGCTGCAGTCACTGTGTCAGTGCATCTTGTTGAGACTTTTTCTCTCCTTCACTGACCCTGTCTTTTCAAGCATGATATCCCTCCCCAGGAATAGCCTCTCCTAACCATACGTCAAAAATATCAGAGACGAAGCTTCAACATCTTTGCCTCCACAGGTCACTACTTGCACTTTCCCCAAGATGTATCTGCTTGTTCTTTTGGCAGTCCACAGGACATTCAGTACTCTTATCAAACACCACAACTCAAAGGCATTAATTTGTTTATCATCCTTATTCATTGTCTTGCTCTCAGATGTATAATAAGTGATTGAAAAGGCCATGGCCTGAATCAGGTGCACTTTAATTTTCAGACTGACATCACTGCTCTTTAATATTTTGGAGAGATCCTGACAACAGATTTTCCCAATGCAGTATGTCTGCTGATCTCCTAACTGCTGATACCAGTGGTGTTAATTGTTGATCCAAACAAGATTAAATCATTGACAATTTCAGTCCTTTTCCATCTATCGTGATTTTGCCCAGTGTTAAGGACATTTGTTTTCTTGATGTTGAGATATAATCTATATTAAGGACTGTAGTAATTGATCTTCTGTAAGCATTTCAAGTCTCCTCTCTTTCACCAAGCAAGGTTGTGTCATCTGCATAAAGGAGGTTGTTGATGAGTCTTCCTCCAATCCTGATACCATGTTCCTCTTTATTGAATCCAGCATCATAAATAATTTGCTCAGCATGTTGTTGTTGTTGTTGTTGTTGTTGTTATGTGCCGTCTAGTCACTTGCGACTCATAGCAACCCTATGTACAACAGCCCTAAACTCTGCTCTGTCCTGTGCCAGTCGCACTGTCTCCGATACACCCATCCTGATTACCCCAGTCACTGAACCAATCCACCTCATAGAGGGCCTTCCCCTCCTGCGCTGTCCCTCTACCCTACCCTCTCCAAGGACGGGACTCTCCTTACTACATGTTCAAAGTATGTTAGATGGAGCCTCAGAATCCTTGCCTCCAGGGAGCAGCCCATTTTAACTCTTTTCAGGATGAATCTGTTTGTTTTCCTAGCAGTCCATGGCACTCTCAATACTCTTCTCCAGCACCACAGCTCAAAGGCATCAATTCTCCTTCTGTCCTCCTTAGTCACTGTGCAACTCTCTGATGCATAACAAGTGATCGCAAAGACCATGGTCTGTATCAGATGCACCCTAGTCTCCAGAGAGACACCATTGCTCTTCAGTACTTTGGAGAGGTTCCTAACAGCAGACTTTCCCATTGCAATACATCTTTTAATTTCCTGGCTACTGGTGCCAAGAATGTTGACTATGGAGCCAAGCAAACTAAAGCTGTGAACAATCTCAATCTCTTCACCATACATCCTGATGCAGCCAATTGGTCTAGTGGTGAGAATCTTTGTCTTCTTGACATTGAGCCTCAATCCATATTGGAGGCTACAGTCCTTGACCCTCTGCAGCAAGCGCTTCAGGTTCTCC